TTGGGCTTCCGCCGCCGGGGGAAGAGAGAGGGGCTGGCGCAGGGGAGGAGAAAGGGAGAGGCGCGGGGGAGAAGGTCGGCGCGCGGAGAAAAACCGCGGAAGAATCGTCCCCACACGCCTGGTGGTCGAGGCGCGATGCATGCTGCTGCTGCTGCCCTTGCTGCGGAGAAGATCTGTCGTCTTCCTGCTTCGACGTCAAGCGCGGAGCTTCCATCGATGACACGTCAACGAACTCCGTCTCCTCTTGTCGACCATGGACGGATTCCGTCTCCTCCCGTGAACCATGGCCGGACTCCGTCTTCTCCCGTGAAGAACGGACGGATTCCGTCTCATCCTTTTCAGTACCATCCGCGGAAACGGCACTTGGCGGGTGCGCGTCGAGCGAGCTTGTCCCGGGCACTTGTTGATGCGCCATGTGCGGCGGCGGCGGCGGCGGGAGGTACGCGGCGGAGAAAGAGTGGCGCCGCTGATCACGTGGTGGCGCGGACTGTTGCACCGGGGAGTGCGGGTGTTGCGCGGTGTGCTGATCTTGCGGGGAGGGCGGGGTGTGCGGGAGTCTCGGGGAGCCCGGGGGATCCGCCTGGAGACCGGCGGAAGGGGACGAAGCTCGACTGTTACGATTACGGCGGTTAAGTCGCAAAGGAGGTTCCTGGTTTGCACGACTTTGAGTCGTGGGTAGGCGAGCCGGGGAAACGGCAGCGGCCATGGGGGAGAGGATTGCCTCTCCTTGAGCTACTTAATCGTTCGCGGTGCGGCAGCAAAACGGCGTGAGAAAGCTACTGAAGGGGTTTTACTGGAGCCAACTTTCGCGTAGTAGCTTTCCTATCAGCAGTGAAGAATCCCTGCCACTCCAACAGAATCCGTCTGTCGCTTCGAAAGAGGCGCGAGGTGCGACTGACTCAATTGAGCGGACGTGCTACGCGCCGAGCTACCGAGATTCTATCTTCCGAGGGAGGGTGCAGACTACGAGTCAGGTGCGGACCGATTGTACGATTACCCGGAGCGGCGATGACTAGCAGAAGGAGCTGCAGCAGGAAGTACGACACGGCATTGGTATTTAGGCATTGGTGATATCGACTCGGCGACGTCTTGCACTCAAAACACAGGTCCTGCTGAACCGAACAGCTAAAGCAGCCTCTGCAGCGGGAAATAAACCTAGTCGTAGAGACCAAGCGGCCCTACAACCAGAAAACCGTGTCGAGGTAAAATGTCTTATGGGAGGCGTGTACGAGGGTCGAAAAAGCATCGGATGCAGCAGCTTTTAAAAAAGGTACGTTGGACGGCGTGGCGATTGCTAATTCCGTTGCGCTGACTGGTCCGACCAATCAGGCCTGAGTGTGAGGCCCAATGATGATGAATTCGGTTCAAGAGGCTCTTTAGGGTGATTCGACCGCCAGAAGGAAACTCGATCGTAGAGGCCATGGCGCAGCCATAGGCTTGCCGATTAGGAGAAGTTGTCTCAGCATGCGAATTGGTGTTTCTGATTGTGAGGATGGTTGGGGAAAAAGCGGCGGTAGGGCGGTTTCGAAGACGTGTTCGATGGTGAGTGCGTGAAAAGCAGAAGTGCTGATTTAGCCAACGCAACAGCAAAATCTGACAGGCGAGAATTCTACTGGCCAGCACAACGCGAGCCTGTTTGCCCTCGACAGGTGACATCAAGTGAAGTTCAACTTTGCAAAGTGGATTTCTCTGGTGTTGCACGGTGTACTACGTTTGATTTTTCAAAGAGAACGGTTTGAAGAGAATCGAAGCCAGCTTCCCTTGAACGCAGGTTTGCCGCACCAGATTGGAGGTGCCACTGCTGAGCTGTTGTGGGCATTGGCCCAGCCCAGGGTAGGGCTGCTGCGAGCCTGCGACGCCAAAACACACAACCCTATCCGCGCTGCGATGCGCTGTTGTGTGTTTTGCTCGGCTGGGTTGGCTTTGGGCAAAACAGAAACACAAGCACGGCTATGGGGCGAGAGTGGTGAAGGTGTGTTGGAGGGAGAGGGTGGGCGGATATGGGCATATTTTGTTGTCCAGCTGGCGAACAACAACGGCCATTTTCAGGTGCATGCAGCTTAGTCATGGCGCGTTATTCAGGTGCATGCCAGGTTGCTTACACTTTTCTCAGGTTAAACAATTTCTCCCGTAAATGAATACGCAGTTCAAGATTCGATAAAAATTGACACAAAAGGTCTGAAATAGATGGAATTTCGGAATACGCAAATCGGAATCGGGATGATTGGCTTTCGATGCTGCATTTTCTGACGTAACTCAGTGCAATGATTGCATTTCTGCCCAGTTTCTACGCAATTTTTTGCTTCGCACCAAATCTTTTTGAACGGATTGTAATGCTAAATCGTTTGTACTGTTGGCGCAGGTGGCGGACGCTTCGCGGGTCAAATCAGCAAACTCTAGTGGGACGTGCATTGCTTGAAAAGGGTAGTCCGAAACACGATAAATATGCCCGAGTGTTAAGAGTGAGTTACCCCTACCGCTATTAAGGATATATCGTATGTTACATGTATATTTAATGCCACGTAATTAAGGCCGTTGAATACCACCTATTTCAATATGCACGTACGGCAAACTTAGTTTGGTAGAGGCAAAATATACAAACACTCACGAAGGGTTTGCTGATTTGCCATGCGCAGCGTCCGTCATCTGCGTCAAAAGTACAACAGATCTAGCATTAGATTCGTTCGAAATGAGTTGGTGCAAAGCAGAAATTTGCGTATAAATTGGACAAAATGCAATCATTGCACTGAGTTACGTCAGAAAATGCAGCATCGAGAGCCAACCATTCCGATTCCAATTTGCGTAGCCCGAAATTGCATCTATTTCAGACCTTTTGTGCCAATTTTAATCGAATCTTGAACTGCGTGTTAATTTACGATAGACAATTTTTAACCTGAGAAAAGTGTAAGCAACCTGGCATGCACCTGAATAACGCGCCTCGACTAAGCTGCATGCACCTGAAAATGGCCGGAACAACAAGGATGTGTTGGGGGTGGTACACGGTGCAGTGGTCGAGTGTACAGTGTATCTCTGGGATCATAGGGCGCTTACGGGAGAATGAGAAACTTTATTCCGCAGCAAACTTCACATTTGCGAAAACATACCGTCTTGTGCTCTCCCAACAAACACTGAACCCAAAGCTCCACACAGCAGCAACTCAAACAAAGTTCCACTAGCAAACCCTTGACACTTTCGGGCAACCCAGCACGTACAGCTGTCACGCCAACGCCCCCAATAAACACCAACTTTTCCCATGTGTCGTACAGTTACGCGAATATCACTGTACTGTATTTAATCCACCTAATCGAATCGAGGATACTCATACAAAAGAACAAAACCCAACATCAGAGCGGATGCAAGCTACCGTACGGTTTCAGGGCCGCAACTTGCAATCTCGTCGGGGCCCACAACGCTGTACCGGAGTCATGATCTAGTCCTCCTATACAAGGGAAATTATACAGGCCGTCACAATTTTTCCCGTATGATCACGTTTGGTCACAGGGGTATCACGAACAGTCACAGTACAGTAAATTGCTATCGCGGGTGATCACAGTGCTATCACGGATGGTCACAGCTCGCCCCGAAAAGCTATCACGTTTGGTCACTCGTTGAAACGATCAACAGAAATATGAAACTACACAAATAACTGTATGTATTCAATGAAAGTTTTCCCGCGCGCGCCGTTTCGTCCGTAGTATTACGAAAAAGTTTCGCGGCAACTTTCGTTAACTCGTGAAAAAAACATCTGCAATTTTTTGTTACTACTCAAATGTCCTCTGTTCGACCAATGCATAATGTCCCTACGAATATCACTTTTAGACGGGTGAAACTCGAAGGTTTATTTTTTTCCCCAGAACAAAAGAAAACTAAACCCCATTCGGATGGGATTTAATTCAGTAGCATCAACCCTAAACACCTTGTCGCAAGGTGTTTAGGGTTGATGCCTCCCGAAGGACGTGTCATCCTATAGGGGTTTTTTTTTTTTCTTCAGTTCCCTAAATATCACGCTAGAATAATGTGCGAGGGAACAAGCAATCAAGGTTGGGATTCCCCCAATTTTTTACTGTTTCTTTTGTGGTCTCAAACTAATTATATTCGTTTCATCGAGTGACCAAACGTGATAGCTTTTCGGGGCGAGGTGTGACCATCCGTGATAGCACTGTGATCACCCGCGATAGAAATCTACTGTACTGTGACTGTTCGTGATACCCCTATGACCAACTGTGATAAAACGGGGAAAATTGTGACTGCCTGTATAATTTCCCCCTATACAACTTTGTTGTACACCCTCATTCTCAGTCTGTGCACAATCGCCACATGAACATGCCAGCTGTAATGACATCAATGCGTCCAACATGATCCAAGAACATAAGCTGTAAGCACATTTGCCGTACTCAACCGAAGGAAAACCAACTTTAAGTTTACATAATGGTTGTTTACCGATCCCTAAAATGCATTTGCCCGCCACCTACCTAGAGTTCGGCTCCAAGCACCAGATCGCTAGGGTCCAAGCAACAGTACGCACTGTAGCCAGGGCTCCCAATTGTGCGTAGACTGAGAATGAGGGTGTACATAATACACCCTCGTTCTCACCCATCTCACCGGCGGGCGTCTGGCAGGCGAATTTTGTCTTATTCGAAAAGTCCTAATGAACCATATTGCACCATCTTTAACCGCTCTCCACCATGCTGTTTCTTCCTGCAAGTTCCCCTAACCGAGGTCAGTCTAGCGAGAACGAGGGTGTACAAGTGTACATCTTTTGCCAGAAATGTTTCACGATTTTCTTTGTGGGGCTCTTCAATGGAGAACATGGAAACATAGTGAACTTCAGTCATTGGTGATGGCTCTTCATGCAGGCGGCTACCATAAATAGTGACTCCACCACCCTCAATATAGCGTGTTATATGCGCTACAGTGCACTAAAATTCATTGCGGCATGTTACCCCATAACTAAAATTCTGGAGGTGGAGGAGGAGGGAACCCGCTGTACTATTCAGCGGTTATTGCTTCACAGCGTCAGCCTCACCATTTGTTACAGTGAGATCACGGACAGTCACAATGTCATATTCACCAGTGTCCTTGTATTCACTATCTCTGAACGTGAAGTACCAATACTGGCACATGATCTGTGGAACAAGCAGGGGCATGAGAAAAGGTGTAGGGTGAAGTGGGAGAGAGGAGGAGGGTTAAGGGATTTGTTAGTTGACTCAGTACCGTAGTCACCACTGGCCTTGTATTCACTATCTCGGAACGTGAAGTACCAATACTGGCACATGATCTGTGGAACAAGCAGGGGCATGAGACAAGGGGTTGGGATGGGACCGTGGGAGAGAGAACGAGAGTGAGGGAGTTTTTAGTAGACTCAATGTCACAGTCACCAGTGTCCTTGTATTCACTATCTCCGAATGTGAAGTACCAATACTGGCACATGATCTGTGGAGCAAGCAGGGGCATGAGACAAGGCGTTGAGGTGGTCGACGACTGTTGAGAAGGAGGTGGATCTCCCGTTGAGGTGGTCGACAATCACACATCAAACAGAATCAACGAAACACACCACTCACAACAGAGCCCATGGCTTGGCTGTTACAGTAGGGAAAAAAAGGTCGTGAAAAGAAAAACTGATATTACATCGTGACAAAAAAACAAGAGCAAAAAAAAGAAAAAAAAAGGAAAAAAAGAAAAAAGAAAAAAGAAACTCACGAAAAGGTCCATGGCCAGGCATGACGCGCTGTCAGTAATCCACGGCAGGTTCGGCCGAACCTGCTTCCACTCCAGCGACCGAACCAGGATACTCCCGAGGTACGCCAGATTCCCAGCCACCGCCAGCGCAAAAGCGGGCGGCGCCAGCCCTTCAACCGCCCCGCGCGCGCAGTTGAGAATTATCGGGGGTAATCGCCCTGTAAAATAGATGCAGGTCATGGCCCAGCCCAGAAACTGCCCGACTGCCCGTAAAAGCAGCTCCTCGTGTCGTTCCGGATCGTCTGGGTAGTCTGGATCGTCAGGATCCAAAAGCGAGGAGTCTTGAGAGAAAAGAGGGCCTTGGGGGAAGATGGGATTCGGTGCGGTGGGATCTGGTACAGACAGGGTTTGGTGGTTCGGGAGAGGCTCGGTTGTTGGTTCGGGGAGAGGTTTGAGAGGGAGTTTTGGTGACAGGAGGTGCGTGGTGGTGGTTGGTGGTGTGGGATCGGAAAAGATTTGAGTCGACTCAGAAGGCTTGATAGCTGGCACGGCATTAGACAGCTCAGAGCTCGGGGGCACCTAGCAATTTGACCATTGTGGGGGGGAACAGGTGTTTGGGTAGTTAGATGGGAGCGAGAGTGTTGCACTTGCATAATGGGAGTGGGGGAGGGTAAGAATTTCAAAGGGAAAAAGGTTCGGAATGACTTTCCAAAGCGAGTTATCCAGGCAACGGATTTATGCTGCAAAAATCTATGCCGGTGGTCCAAACGACTTTGCTTGTAGCTGCTGATACCTGTAGCAGTTTTCTCGACATAGGCCCGAGGAGTGATGTTTGCGCTGCGCTGTTGTTCCCTAATACAGCAAAAATGACCGCAGGTGAGGCGTGTGGTGGGGAGGATGCAGAAGAGGAGGAAGAGGAGGAAGAGAAGGAAGTGGAGCGGAAAGAGGAAGTGGAGGTGATGGCTCTTGGTGTGTTTGCCCAGGAGTGGAGGGAAGAGGGGAAGGCAGTGTGAAGGGAAGGAGAGGAGGAGAGGCCAAAGACAGCTGATATGGTGATGAGGGCTAGGACCTGCCGTAGTGAGGGGAAGAGGTAAAGGGGGGAGAGGAGAAGGGGAGAGAGGAACAGCAGAAGTAAGCCTCGATGTGATGAGGTGAGAGGCCGAAGAGAGCCGAGATGGTGGCAAGAGCAAGAACCTGAAGTGATGAGGGGAGATGGGGAAGAGGGGATAAGGGGCACTGGTAAGTGGTGGCATGCAAAGAATGTAAGTGGGCGCAGAAGGGAAGGCGAGGAGAGGAGAGGAGAGGAGAGGAGAGGAGAGGAGAGGAGAGGAGAGGAGAGGAGAGGAGAGGAGAGGAGAGGAGAGGAGAGGAGAGGAGAGGAGAGAGGAGAGGAGAGGAGAGGAGAGGCTGAAGACAGCGGTGATGGTAACTAGGGCAAGGAGCTGAAGTGGTGAGGAAAGAATAATTGCGGGGGAAGCTGGCCTTTAAGGAGATGGAGAGATGGAGAGGGAACTATGGATAGCATCACACTCACCGCATTGAGGGATGGCGAGGAGGGGTTTCGGGGGAAGCTGGCCCAAAAAGAGCTGGAGAGAGTGAGACGACGTTTGAGTCGACTCAAAACGAGTTGCCATTTTAAGGGCACATTCCTGGCTCGTGTCAAGAATGAGTTGGTGTCAAGTGTAGATGCAATCGCATGTGTTTCAACATCTACACTTGACCCCAATTCACTCTTGACACGAGCCAGGAATGTGCCCTAAGTCAGCACTCACCGCATTGAGGGAGGGGGAGGAAGGGTTTCGGGGGAAGCTGGCGCCAAAGGAACTGGAGAGAGTGAGACGGCGCCAACTGCCTGAGAAAGACCCAGATGACCTGATGGGGGTGGGGAGAATGGGAAATAGAGAATGACTGACTGAGAGGCTGTAGTGGGAACTGGAGAGAGTGAGACGGCGCCAACTGCCGGAGAAAGACCCGGACGACCTGAGGGGGGTGGGGAGAGGATAAGTGGATAAGGAGTTGAGAAAAGAGGGAGGATGCTCCAATAAAGGAGGCGGAGAAAGAGAGAGTGAGGCGGTGCCAGCTGCTGGAGAACGAAAAAGATGGCCTGAAGGGATTGGGGAGAGGGACGGTGGATGAGGCGATTAGATGTGGAGAAGTGATGATGAGATACCACCGCAAGACTCACACCACCAGACCCACCACCCCTACCACCCCTACCACCCCCATCACCATCACCAGCACCACCACAGCCACCATATAACCATGCTTCCCATCCAGCGTGTGATTGACAAAAATCGACTCAAAAATCAACTCAAAAATCGACGAATAAAAACCGAGTCGACTAAAAAATCGACTTATCACACATCATATAACCATGCTACCCATCCAGCCCATCCTTACTGCCCAAAAGATTGTCGCTGCGGCATTCCCACTGGAATCGACCTGCTCTTCCCACCACCACTGCCGCCACCCCCGTTGCCACTGGCGCTGCCACTGCCGCTCCCACAGCTCCGCCTCCCTGACGCCTGTCCACCAATCCCCTGGTGCCACGTGTCCCTCTGTTGCTCCGCCCTATTCCCCCCTCCAACTGCAGATGCTTCAGGGAGGGGGAGCAGGGTTTGGGGACGCGAAATGGAATCCTGGATGGTAGGGGAGGGGGAGAGGTGAAGCGGGAGATGGGGGGACGGGGAGGGGATGGGAATGCAAAGTCGGTGCTCTAATCAGGGAGGGGGAGCAGGGTTTGGGGGCGCGAAATGAAATCCTGGATGGCAGTAAGGAAGAAGGGAAGGGGAAAGGGAGAGAGGGGAGAGGGGAGAGGGGGAGCTGAACTTTTAAGAATCCTTAAGACTTTGGTGGGCAAAAATGGGATTCTGGATGATAGAGGGAAGAGGGGAAGGGTGTGGGGGGAGGCTGGAAGGAGATGGTGGAAAGAAGGGAGAGTGGGAGTAAGGTGAGTGGGGAAAGGGGAGCAGGATTAAGGAAGCGAAATCACATACCTTGTTACAATCGCATACCTTGTTAGAATCACATGCCTCGTTAGAATCACATGCCTCGTTAGAATCACATACCTTGTTAGAACCAAGTATCTCTTTAGAATGACATACCTCGTTAAATTCACATACCTCATCAATAATCGTGTGGTACAGCCCGTTGGATGCTCCGTACCCATCCTCAAAACCATCATCGTCATAATCACCATCACTACCGTCATCAGCAGCATCGACATAAGCAGCGGAGGCAGAAGCTGGGGCAGTTGCCCCGGAGGAGCCTTGTAGCAGGGGAGTGTTTCTGTTGGGGGCCGCAAGCCTCCTGCCTCTCCTCTCCCGCCGCCGCTGCTGTCTCTTCCTGCTGCATGCTGAGAGGAAGTGCTGCAGCACTAGCACACACGTGGTGCTTGTGTAGAGCTGCGACAGTATGGGGAGTGGGGAAGGGAGAAGCGGGAGAGAGGGAGAGCGGGATGGGTGGATTTCACATATCGCACATCACATATTGCACATCACACATCACACATCGCACATCTCATATCGCACATCTCATATCGCACATCGCATATCGCACATCACACAACGAACATCACGCATCGCACATTGCACATCCCACGTCGCACATCACACATTGCACATCACACATCGCACATTGCACATTGCACATCGCAATCGTGTATTGCACAGCATAAGCTATGCACAGCATAAGCTATGCGCAGCAGACTTGTGCTTCAAATTCTCGATCTAGGAGGTGAAGGAAAAGAAGGCAGAAAAGAACTCACGATTGCTGTAAAGAGCTGGGTCGGAAGCTGTAGGGATGGCATGCAGGCATATGGTTCCGGCAGAAGCGCGGGAAGAGGGAATGTGAAAAGGGAGTGGGGAGCGGTGCAGGAACGGCAGCACAGGGAGATGGAATGATAGGTGAGCGGTGGAAAGAGGGAGTGACATAGGGAAAGAAGACGAGGGGGAGGGGGGAAGGGGGGATGAGGAGAAGTAACGAGAGAAGCGAAACTAAGGAGGGAAGATGGGAACGGGAGCGACGAAGCAACCGAATGAGAATGTAGTCGAACGAAGAAATAGAAGCAGTTAATGGGGGAAATGGGGCTGGCACACCAACGGGAATGCAGCGTGACATGTTTGAATCTAAAGAGAAAGAAATCTGGTATTGTACTATAGTACCGTGACAGGATCGAGGAGGCAGCCGAGGAGATTAAAGACATCTCTGGAGGGCGGAAATACGGACGGTGGAAAGCAGAGGTAATTGGTTTTAGACCGGACGGACGATGAACACATGGTCCATGCCAGACTTTTAGGTGAAAGGCAATGTAGCCCAAGATGAAACATGAGGATATAGTAAGCGGAGGTGAGGTCTTCATCATCCTGTGATCCACGTCAGCACCGCCATTCACCCCACTATCCACGTCAGCAGCATGCACTCACCCCACGATCCACGTCAGCACCAGCGCGAGCGGCACCTCCTCGAGCTCCACGCCGCTGCGCGACGCCTGGCAGTTGGCGATCACCTGAGGAACCTCCGCCACCGCCCAGCATGCGATACTAAAAAGACCTAAGTAGAGCGACGCGGCGTCGCGCGCGGAGCACACGCAGTCGCCGAAAACTAAGTATTTCCACCGGGAACAGCCCGAAGGCTGGGATCCCGGAGCGGGAATCGCGGCCGCGGGACAGGATGGGTCGAAAATGGTCATGACGGGAAGAGGGAGTTTCACGGGGCGAAATGTAGTCGTGGCGAAATGTGGTAACCGTGGCGGATCAAGGGGAGTGACGTGGCGCACTCGACGTGGCGGATTCGAAGTGGCGGATTCGAAGTGGCGGATTCGAGAATGACGAACGCAAGTAGGAAACCAAGGAGAGGGAGTGTGGCTCTTCTTTCGCCGAAATGCGGCCCCGACTTTTGGGTTACGACGGCTAACGCGGTTCCACGAGTTGGTTCCGCTTTTACGGCTCCTCCAAGTCGAGGTATGCCATTAGTTGTACTGATCAAACTATCCAGTAGTCCTCTGCGCCCTTCCCCCCACTAAAGTGGGTTATTTTCTTTTTGCAAGAACCGTCACTCAGTCTCCGCAGCTCAAGCGACACACGGAACCCTAACGATACTCCGTTATAAATAACAGCCACATTTCCCTTATACCACAAAATAAAGCCGCCTCGCCTGCCCGTATGCCCTTGGAAGACTAGAATGGAAAAGCCACGTGGTCAGGGTTTGGACGGCAGCCTGCCTCTCGATGTTTTCTTCTTGTTGCATCGACGGCTGATATTGCAGAAACACTTGGCTTATCCAATTAGCGTCGTAGAATGCCATCCTCGTGGCAATTGCAAGGTTTGAGGGGGATGACACTTGTGGTGGGTAGCAAGCGAACGTTAGCGAAACTGGTTACGATCATACAATCTGGTTATGGGGTGGGGAATTTGGTCGAAATTGCTCCTCCGCCGTCGGATTCGTCCAGGCCAATAAAATCGCACTAATTTGGGGCCACCAATTTCATCCCACAAGTCGCACACCTCGTTTAGCTCCACCAATTTGATCGCACAAGTCGTCGCAACATTAGTTTCACACGGAAGCACCACTATGGGCGGTTTCTCCAGGCATAGGGTTGCTTTGGTCCAAGCTCACATACTGTCACGGTCATTTTACCTGTTGCTAGGTATCCCTTACCTTATTATTATTTAGAGACCTTAAATCGGAAAATCTGTAGGGATTGGCTCCAACAATTAGCTCGTCATGGATAACGATAAATCCGAGCCGTTGGTTGATAGAAAATCTGAGCCGCCAACGACTGAGGATTCCGAGCCGTTGATTGATGGACGACGCGAGCCGTTGGCTGATGGAAGATCCGAGCCGTCCGCTGACGGGAAGTCCGATCTTTCAACTAATAAGGATTCCGTGACAGCCGTTGATGGAGGACGCATGGATCCCGCGGATAAGCTAGATGAGAAGCTCTCAGGTGCGTTTGACTTTTGAGTCGACTCAAAAGGACGCATGGATTCCGCGGATAAGCTAGATGAAAAGCTCTCAGGTGCGTTTGCGCGCTACGACCTTTGAGGCGCCTCAAAAGAGGATGCGCGGATTCCGCGGAACCGTTGGATGAGAAGCTCGAGGGCGTGCTTGTGAGCTACGTAAAGGGTGCCGGACGGGGATGGCTAGCATGGATGGCGAAGAAAGGTGGAAGAACAGGGGGAAGATCCAATGCTTCCCGAGAATTCTAAAAAACACATAATCCCGATGGAAGAACAGGGGGGGAAGATCCAAAGGTTTCCGCTGCTGTTCTGTACCTTACCTGTTTCCATTTCCGGCTTCTTGGGTTTCCCAATCCATAACAATTTCGAATCGTGTCACTGAATATCATGGTAAGTGCATTATATTCAGTGACACGATTCGAAATTGTTATGGATTGTCATGGTAAGTACTATGCAGGGCGGAAAGGGGGAGAAAGGGACTGAGAACAGTAAGGCAGGAATAAGGGGAGCAGGCAATACAGGGGCAAGTAGCAGGTGAAAGGCAGGAAGGGAAGGGACTCCGACAATCGACATGTAACGTCCTTTCCTTATCCGGAACCTATATTCCTTCTTCACTCGTCCCTCTTCTGCTGTAAGCCTCTCACTCTTCCCGTGGGTTATATCTTGGGACGAAGTGCACGGAGAGAGAATGGCAGTGGAACAACGAAAGCTTATGCGCTCGTCTCCCCATCAGTCGTTTCCATTTCTGCCTTTCCGAAAGTAAAGGATTTTTCATTCCCCAACCACTCAGATATGCACCTGACGGCAAGTGAAGGGGTCGAAACGGGGAGACGCGTTGGGGACAGCGAAGATGCGGAGGGGAATGGAAGCAAGGAGGCTGTCGGGGATGAACGCACGGGGAAAAAACTGGGAGCCGCAGGGGACGGGAGTGGGGAGGGAGATGAAAGGAGTGGGGAAGGAGATGAAGCTGGTGTAAGGAACAAGAGCGAAGGAGAGGCGCGGGCGGAGAGAAAGGAGGTGGAGGGGGCGGAATTGGTGGAGCAAAGAGGTGAACAGGGTAACCCGGTTGTTCTGAGCTATGAGGGCGTATTGGATAGCAGAGAAAACGTGTTGAATAGGGACGAAGGCTCGTTAGTAAGTAGAGACGGCTCTTTGCATAGTAAAGAAGGTTCTATAGATAGTAATGAAAATTCGGTACATAGTAGAGACAGCTCGATTGATAGTTTGCACGGGGAAGATGCTGTGAGGGGGCGTGCACAAGGGAAGGCGAAAGGGAAGGGGCATGCAGACGGTAAGGCAAAGGGGTATGCAGGCGGAAAGGCGAAGGAGCAGAGGGGTAGGGGAGTCGCAGCGGCAGCAGTAAGAGGGAGAGGAGGAGGCAGTACGGTTGACGATAGCGATAGTGACAGTGTGGAGAGCGGGTTTTGTGGCGGGGGGGTGATCAGCAGCAGGGGCAGGGGCGCTCGCAGGTATAGCTCTGGTGCTGTTGCTTCTGGTGGCGGTGGTGGGGGTGATGGGGGTGATAATAGCGATAGTGATAGTGTGGAGAGTGGGTTTCGCGGTAGGGTTAGCAACAGCAGAGGCAGGGGCGTTCGCAGGTACAGCTCTGGTGCTATTGCTTCTGGTGCTATTGCTTCTGGTGGTGGCGGTGGTGGTGGGGGGTGGGGGTGATGATAGCGATAGTGACAGTGACGAGAGCACAGCAGGGAGCAAGCCGGTTGAGGGGGGTGGAGGAGAGGGAGTGGGCGAAGAGGAGGAGGGAGAAGGGGGAGGGAGCGGGGGGGAGTCGAATAGGTCTGACAGGGGAGACAGGGGAGGAAGGGGGATGGGCGGACGAGGTGGGGGAGGGTGGGGGGGTAACCCCTTGTGGCGCGAGGCTTATGAGGGGGAAAGTTCTGCTGCTGGTGGTGGTGGTGCTGCTGCTGGCGCTTCCGCTGCTGCTGCTGGTGCTTGGGAAAGGGGAAGGGGGAGTGGGAGGCAAAACGGTGGATGGGAGAGAGGGCGTGAGTGGGGTAGCAGTGGGGGAGGGAGGGATGACACGAGTAGTGCTGCTGTTGGCGGTGCTGGTGGTGGTGGGGGAGAAGGGCGCATGAATATGGGGACGGGGGTGGGGATGGAGGGAGGAAAGGCGAGACGGAGGATAGACGGGCAACACCAGTTTATGAAGGGCATTGTAAGTGCTGCTGCGTTGTTACTTAAAAATTCCGTTGGTTCTGGTTCTTGCGATGCTGTTCTTTCTGCTTTTTTTTTTTCCCCTCCCCCGATTTTTTTCCTTATCAGCTGTAGTTGCAGAAGGGTGCGGAGGTGTACGAACAACGCTTGAATTGTCTCAAAACCCAATCTATTTTCTGCTGTTCCTCCCCCTTCCTCTTCATTAGGTGCAAGTGCAGAAGGATAGAGAGGTGTATGAGCGTCTGTACCAAGCTGCTGCTGCCACTGGCATCACTCCTGTCGCTGCTGCTGCCACTTCTGTTGCTGCCCAACGAATGAGCCATGCCTCACTCACTCCTCAATTTTACCCCTACCTACCGCCAGGTGCAAGTGCAGAAGGATAGAGAGGTTTATGAACGGCTGTATCAAGCTGCTGCTGCCACTGGCATCACTCCTGTCGCTGCTGCTGCCACTGCTCCCACCGCCAAGCGAATGAGTCATGCCTCACTTACCCCTCGCTTCACCCCCACCCCATCCCCCCTAACCTTGCCCATCAGGTGCAAGTTCAGAAGGACAGGGAGGTATACGAACGGTTGTATCAAGCTGCTGCTGCCACTGGCATCACTCCTGTCGCTGCTGCTGTTGCTGCTGCCAAGCAAATGCGGGAGGGGGGAGCAGGGGCAGGAAGGGGAGATAAGGCAGTAGAAGCAGCAGAGAGAGGGAGAGAAGGGGTGACAGGAGGAGCGAAGAAGGAGCAGCAGCGGCAGGGTGCGGGGGAGGGGGGCAGAGAAGGTGTGAAATCAGGGAAGGATGGGGAGCGAAGGGCAGGGAGGCACCAACAGCAGCAGCAGCAGAGGGGGAAGCAGAGAGGGGAGCGTGGTGATAGGCACAGGAAGGGCAAGGAGAGGGAAGCGGCTTCTCTGGAGGACTTGCAGGAAGGGACGGGGGAGACTGGCGGAGGGGAGCGGGGGAGGGAGGAGGGAGGAGAGGAGGGGAGGAGAGGAGGGGAGGAGCGAGGGAACAGAGAGAGAAAAGAGGGGGGAGGAGTGGGAGCAAAGGGCAGAGGAAAATTTAGCAGCAGGAGGAGGGGGAAGTGGGGAGAGGAAGACGGACAGGAGAGGGGAGAGGAGAGAGGGAGGAGAAGGGGGGGAAGCAGAGGCTGAAGGGGGGAAACGGAGCAGAGGGGGCAACGAGAGGGGGGATGGCCCTGGCAGCGGTGATGGCAGCACTGGGGTACAGGGGGGCAGGGGGGGGAGGGGAGCGGGGGGGAGGCGGTAACCGCGTACTACACGCAGCCTTTGCCCCTGTGATAGGTGGTTTCCACCCTGGTGGCTCCCAGCCTGGTGGTTTCCACCCTGGTGGCTCCCAGCCTGGTGGTTTCCACCCTGGGGGTTCTCAGCCTGGTGGTTTCCACCCTGGGGGCTCTCAGCCTGGTGGTTTCCACCCTGGGGGCTCTCAGCCTGGTGGTTTCCACCCTGGGGGCTCTCAGCCTGGTGGTTTCCACCTGGGAAGCTCTCCTTCTAGAGGTGTGAACCAGGGGAGGTTACAACCAAGAGCAGGAGCAGGCACGGGTAGGGGCGCCAGGGGTGCAGGTGTGGGGGGGAGGGCTCGAGGCACTGTTGTTGCCGGGGGGGTTGTTGAGGCGGGAGGCGGAGGGGTGACAGCAGTGGCAGCAGATAAGCAGGTAAGGGCGCAAGGTAGGATAGGTGAGAAGCCAGGGCAGAGGGAAGAGCCGGGTGAGGGCCGTGATGATGTAAACTCGTTGCCGTTTTCACGCATGAGCCTTCAAGCACAGACGGGGGAACAGCAAGAGCAAGCACATGGGTTGAGGGCTGAAACGGTGAAAAAAGAGGGGAATAGTCCGTTTTTATTTGGTGCCACAGGTGCAGGAGCAGCAGCAGGAGCAGCAGCAGGAGCAGCAGGGGCAGCAAGGGCAGCAGGGGCATCAGCAGGATTAGGAGCAGCAGCAGCAGATGCCACAGGAGTTCATGTCACCACTACCACTGCCCCTTCCGCTGATCCCGCTGGTAGCAAAAGTGGAGTGCAAGGGATCGGCGCAAATGCAACACCACCCCTTACTGCCCCTATCCCAGCTCATGCCCCTGATTCTGCCTTGAGCCATGATAATCCGGCCCCTGGCTCTGGTGAAGCAGTGTCGTCAGGCTTGGCTCCTCAAGAGGAAATGGGGTCGCTCAATAAACAAAGCTGGGCGGATATGGTGGATGAGGATGAGGCGACGGGGGAGCGGGGGAGGAAAAAAGAGGATGGGGTTGCGGAGAAGGGAGGTGGCCTAGAGGGTGAGAAGCCGAGGGCTGGGTTGTACGTCCCTCCATTCAGGGCAGCACAAGCACATGGTGTCTCCAAGAAATGAGAAACGACAAGCTTTAGTTTCACTTGATTTTGAGGTTTGAGAAAGTGTTTATGTATGTCCAGAATTAGAGTGCGCTAGTTGTGTCGTAATTCAGTACTTGTCTGAATTATTGTACTTCGTCCATTTTCGTGGTAGACCGCTAGTAGCGAATAACGCGGATATCGACTGTTCTGCCTATACACTACCCTCGAAGTTGTCGCCTCTTTCCGCCAACGAGTTTTCTGTATGCTCTTTTTACCATCAACAACCGTTTCCGCCGCGGCGCACTGCACACCACCGCACCCAATCCCTTCTGGAGATCCCAATTCCAGCTCGCATTTCCGTAGTTTTCCAGGGAGAAAGACTGAGCTGAGCCATTATCTGCGACTCCATTACTTGACAGGTTCGCTTAGGCATCACTAAGCGGCCCGTATTTGCCGTCGTCTTGCGTCGCGCGTGTTAACGGAGATGGTTAACTGTTCAACGTAACCACCCCGTAGTTGCTCATTGCATTTTGACGAGGCTAGCTACAAACTGCCTGGTTTCGCTTGAGTTAGAGCTTGCTCGTTACGTACTAACCTTTCGTCAAATGGACGATGCGGCGAGAGCTTGCTAGGTCGCAAAAGGTTCTCGACGAAGTTACCAATCGTTCTCTACAAGTTTCTCTTCGTCCATGATGAAACGTATCATGGCGCTTAGTGCATGATTGATCGTAGTCCTTAGGACCGTGAAATTCGGTCATCTACCAGTAGACAGGCGGAGATTAATCACTCGTGATCCCTGCGCCAGTCGTCGCCAGTGTAGTCAGTATCTTCCGAAGCTAGTCGTTGTGAAACCATTCTTGAGTCGACTGCAAGATTGGCTGCAATCCATCCATCATCTTCCCGGAGCCAGTCGCCGTGAAACGCGGGGCCTTGCGGGGCGATATCGGTCGCAATGGCGGGGTGGTTGCGAGCGGCCGAAGGTGGGTAGTGACACCGTTATGACAGTGACTATGTCGGGTTGAAAGTAGGCAGTGACGGCGACTAAGTTGGCCAGAAATGTGTGCAGCGTTGACTATATTGAGGGTGAGGGTACGCTTTAATTGTGACAATTTCTAGGGTGAATCATTGTGTTTGTAAGGAGGTTACGGGCGACGCTGTGGAAAATCAAAGTACGTGTGGTGGAGATACGAAAGAACGAGCTGCCTCCGTTCTCCACCTGCTGCTCGTTCCGCTACTGCCAGAAGCGCCTGCCGTCCCCTTTCCATCCTTCACAACGCACACATCTCCCACGCGTCTCCCACACGCATCCTCATCCCACCTTTTTCTCAGAGCTCCTAGAAGCGAAGGATATCATCTCACAGTGAGTGTGGCGGCACGGAATGGCAATTTTGCCCTGCCTGCCGCAGTGCCGCTCCTCCTTGTTGCCAGAAACGCCCTCCCTACTACCTTTCTCTTTTCCTCCTTCCCCCACTCCTCTCCCCGTTTCTCTCCGCGTCCCTCCCACCCGACCCCTGCCCCACCCTCCCATCCCACCTCTCTCTCCTTTCTCTTCCCTCCTCTCCCCACCTTATCCTCGTCCAGAGCTGCTAGAAGCAGTGGATCGAACAGTGAGTGTGGCGGCACGGAATGAGGATTCGGCTCTGGAGGAGCAGCTAGCAGGTGAAGCGGGAGGTTGAGTTCAGTTGGGTGCGGTTGGGCTGGGTTGGTAAGGATGGAGGACGTTTGACTGATATGTCTTAAGAGGTCCTCTGGAGAAGCAGTTGATCGAACAGTGAGTGTGGCGGCACGGCTCTGGAGGAGCAGCTAGCAGGTGAAGCGGGAGGTTGAGTTCGGCTGGGTGCGGTTGGGCTGGGCTGGGAAGGGTGGAGGACGTTATGATACGTCTTAAGGCGTCCCGTGTAAAAGCTTTTAGCAGGTGAAGTGGGTAGTGCGGTTGGGCTGGGTTGGGAGGGATGGATATTTATCTGAGTCAGAGTGTGGGGTGGGAGAGATCATTGATCAAGTAATTTCTGTCAATGTTTCTAGAGCATCCAAATCCTGCTCTTCCTTCCCCTCATTCCTCCTACGAGATTCCTTTTGAGTCGACTCAAAATTCTCTAACCGAGTCAGAGAGAGGGGAGGGATCATTGACCAATAGAAGGAACTCAGCCGATGTTTCTAGAGCATCCAAATCCGGCTCTTTCTTTCCCCTCGTTCCTCCCACCCCCCTGTCTGTTGCGCCCCGTATGCGCATTGGGAGCAGCACTGGAGCCTGTGGGAGTGCGCAAGATGTCAGCTGCAAGGGAGAAGGTGAGGAACTTACGCGCATCAGCAGCTATTCTTGGTTTGGTGTTTGGTTACGGAATGTTGTTACCCTTCAGGCATGCACTCATAACCCGGTATTGTGGGCTGGCTGGCTATTGTTTGTTGGCTTGTCTTGTTTCTTTTATGACTGATTGGCCTTGGTCATTTGATGCATAGCTTTGACCCACTAGTCGCCTCCCTCCCTTTTTTTGCTCTGATTTCCCCCTTGTTCGTAGATCTTGTTGTTTCTGATTTGAATCTATGTTTTATCTTCCCCAACATCATTGCTCTGTCTGTCACTGCTCATTCTTACAGGGCAAGCTAGACAGGTCGAAAACAAAACCAACATCTAGTAGAGCCACTAACGGGGCAGCTCTTAAAGGGTCTGTCAGCGCTCCTCTGCTGGACGAGCCTGGAAGCTCGTCGGAAACAGAGGGGAAAGCAGCAGGCACAGCAGGGGTGCGAGGGGGGAAGGGTGGCAGGAGAAAGAAGGTTGAAGCGAGCTCTAGTGGCGGGTCGACCGGTGGAGGGTCAACCGGTGGAGGTTCAACTGGTGGAGGTTCAACTGGTGGAGGTTCAACTGGTGGAGGTTCAACTGGTGGAGGTTCAACTGGTGGAGATTCAACTGGTGGAGGTTCAACTGGTGGAGGTTCAACTGGTGGAGGTTCAACTGGTGGGGGATCAGCAGCAGGAGGATCGACTGGTGGGGGTTTAAGTGGGGGAGGTACAGCTGTGACTGTTGGGAGCTTAATCGCTGCTGGTGCAGGGTCAGACGCTATCCTTGTTGTGGGTGGTAATGCTGCTGTACCTCTTGATGCAGGTGCAGACCAGAGGGGGGCAGGTGTGGAAGCAGCAAGTGCAGAGGAAGGAACGGCAGGGGGAGCATCAGCGGGAGAAGCAGCAGGAAGAGGGGATGGGAGCCTGAGTTCTCATGCTAGTAAAGCTGCCGCTGCTGCTGCTACGACCGGAGCTGCCGAGGCAGGTCTGGATGCCGGGCCAGTTGCTGGTTCAGCAACTGGTTCGGCAGCTGGTTCGGATGCAGGCTTGAGTGGTGGATTGATGATAGAGACAGTGACAGGTGCGGATGGTGTGAATGCTGGGATTGCAACAGAGGCAGGAGGGGCAGCAGGGAGCGAAGCAAGGGGCGAAGAAGGAGCAGGGAGTGAGGGAGGGAGTGAGAGGGGTGTGCAGGGTAAGGTCACAGAGGGGGAAGGATGTGAGGGTAAGCCCAGTGCGTGTTCCTCTGGCGAGTTGTCTTCAGGTGGCGAAAGGAGGGATACAGAGGGATCCAGTGCGGTTGAGAAGCAAGATGCTGCGGTGGAAGGAGGTTTTCCAGTGGCAGCTGACGGCGGGGGGCTTATAAGAGGTCAACTGGCAGGGAGGTTGGGACCAGGATCAGAGGGGGAAGGGGGGAGTGGGAAGGGGGGAGATTTGGGAGGAAGCGAGGTAGGAGGAGGGGAAGCGGCTGTTACTGAGGGGGTTGAAGGGGAAATGGTGCATGAGAATGGGAGGAGAGAAGGGGTGGAGAGCAGTGTAAAGGCTGAGGCTGGGATTGGGGTTGGGATTGCTGGCATGGATGTGACAGGCGGAGAGGGAGTTGGGAGTGATAGTAAGGAGGTAACGACGAGAGGGGTTAGAGAGGGGAGGTTAGAGAATGGGGAAAAGGAGGAGGATGGGGAAGGGAGGAGAAGAGTAGGGGAGCAAGGGGGGGTGGAAATGGAGGAGGGAGGCGGAGTGGGGGAAGTAGAGGGCGAAGAGGAGGGAGGGGAAGGAGAGGAGGAAGAGGAGGACGAGGGGGTAGAGGAGGAAGGGGAGGAGGAAGGGGCTGAGGAAGAGGAAGAGGAGGAGGAGGAGGCGGAAGAGGAGGGAGTGGAGAGGGACAGGAAGACAAGGGAGAAGGTGGTGAAAGCGTCAGAGACTCAGAGGGATCTTGAGGAGGTGCGTGGATTATTACAAGGTGTGGTCAAATCGGAGTCTCAACTTGACGAGACCTTTGGGAGGCGAGAAACCTATCAATGAAGTTTGACAGAAAGGGATAACGGGTGCATCTGGACAATCCAGCTGGATTGGAGCACAGCAGCTTCCCACTCCAATCTCATCCCTTTCTAACCCTCCCTCCTCCCTCCTCCCTCTTTTGTTCTGGCTGTTCCTGGCAGGCTAAGGGGCTTCTCCGATCAGCCACAGGCATTGGACAAACCAAAGAGGCTAGACTGGCACGGGTATGTGTGTGAAGGCATGGATGCGGGAAGGTTGAAGAATGATTGCCTATGTTACTGCATTGCATTGTGTGTGTGTGTGTGCGCGCGCGTGCGCGCACGCATGGGGCATGGGGAATTAACCAAGTATTCTGCACTCGTTTTCCCCTTGAGCATGCTCAAAAACACCCTGTGTTCCGTACTCGTTTTTTCCTTGGCCCTTCTCTCTTCCCCTGCTGCAGATTTGCTCGCAGCTGTCGACGCGGCTCCAGGAGTACAAGGCAGAGAACGAGCAGCTGGAGGAGTTGCTTCACGAGGAGGTGAGGTGGGGCACAGTGAGGTACAGTGAGGTGCGACAGGTATGCGCATGAGCATTACCTTTGGCTCCAGGAGTACAAGGCAGAGAACGAGCAGCTGGAGGAGTTGCTTCACGAGGAGGTGAGGTGGAGTGGTGCGTAAAGAGGTTCAGGTGAGTTGCAGCGAGGTGCAGTGAGGTCAAGTGAGGTGAAGTGATTGAGGTGCAGCAAGGTGGTACAGGTACTAGGCACATGAGCACTACCTGTCTTCAGCTGCAGGAGTGCAAGGCAGAGAACGAGCAGCTAGAGGAGCTGCTGCATGAGAGGTGAGGAGTGGTTGGAGGGGCATGAGGAGGTGAGGTGGGGTGCAGTGAGGTACAATGAGGTGGAGTGAGCTGCAGTGAGTTGCGACAAATATGTGGCACATGAGCATTACCTTGGACTCCAGGAGTACAAGGTGGAGAACGAGCAGCTGGAGGAGCTGCCACATGAGGAGGTGAGATGGTGCCTGAGGAGGTTCAATGCGGTGCAGCGAGGTGCAGTGAGGTGACGTGAGGTGGAGCAAGGTGCTACAGATACGAGGCACATAAGCATTACCTGTCCTAAACTGCTCAAGTACAAGGCGGAACGAGCAGTTGGAAGAGTTGCTGCATGAGGTGGTGAGGAGGAGTGGTGCGTGAAGAGGTTCAGGTGAGGGATGGTGCATGAGGGGGTGCAGTGAGGTGCAGCGAGGTGCCACAGGTGTGAGAACGAGCAGGGCATTAGTACTACCTTAGGCTCCAGGAATACAAGGTGGAGAACGAGCAGCTGGAGGAGCTGCTGCATGAGGAGGTGAGGGTTGAACGTCGTCGGAGGTCCGCGAGGAGGCAGGATGGAGCATGAGAGGAGGACTGAGGAGAGGAGAGGAGAGAAGTGAGGCACATGGTGAGGGATGGTTCATGTGAGGACTGGTTCACATGGGTCAGTGGACAGTGCGGTTCGGGTGTTAGCAGCAGCAGCTGAAAAGCACACAAGCAGATGTAGTAGCAGCAGTGGGTGAGGGTCAGTGTTTAAGCTCTCCCCCACTCTCCGTCCTTCGTCCCTCTTTCCAACTGTTCTTGTCTCCCCACAGAGGAACAACCGAGGGTCGGTGGATAGCGTGGTTCGGGCCTTGCAGCAGCAGCTGGCGAGTGCACGGGCAGAAGCAGTGGCAGCAGAAGCAGCAGTGGCAGCGGGGATGGAGGCGAAGAACCGGGAGATAGAGGCACTGTGTGGGGCGCTGGAGCAGCAGGTCTTTACTTTCTCCTGCTCTCCCATTCACCCTCTCCTCTCTCCCCACAGAGGAACAACCGAGGGTCTGTGAACAGTGTTGTGAGAGCACTACAGCAGCAGCTGGCGAGCGCACGGGCAGAGGCAGTGGCAGCAGAAGCAGCAGTAGCAGCAACAAGGTTGTCACATCTCTCCTCTGCGGCTGTCCTCCCTTTCATCCTCTCCCCTCTCCCTACAGAGGAACAACCGAGGGTCGGTGGATAGCGTTGTACGGGCACTACAGCAGCAGCTGGCGAGTGCACGGGCAGAGGCAGTGGCAGCAGAAGCAGCGGTGGCAGCGGGCATGGAAGCTAAGAACCGCGAGATAGAGGCGCTGTGTGGCGCGCTGGAGGATGCTGAGAGGCAGTCCGCTGCCCTCCAAGCCAAAATGGCCTCCCTGCAGGTACGACGGGAGGGAGTGGGGGAGTGGAGAGTCAGTGGCAGCAGAAGCGGCGGCGGCAGCGGGTATGGAGGCGAAGAACAGGGAGATAGAGTCTCTGTGTGGCGCGCTGGAGGATGCTGAGAGGCAGTCCGCTGCCCTCCAAGCCAAGCTCGCCTCCCTGCAGGTGCGTGCGTGTAAGGGAAGTAAGGAGGGAGGGAGGGTCAACGAGTGGGGGGACGCAGTGGCAGCGGGGATGGAGGCGAGGAATGGGAAGAACCGTGAGATAGAGGCGCTGCGTGACGCGCTGGAGGATGCTGAAAGGCAGTCCGCTGCTCTCCAAGCCAAGCTTGCCTCCCTGCAGGTGAGAGTGAGGGAGGGAATGAGGGAAGGGGCGAGTGAGGGAGAGAGGGGGGAGTGAGGGAAGGAGGGGGAGAGTGTTTGAGTGAGTCAGCGAAGGAGGGAGTGAGAGGGGGAGAGGGAGACGAAGGAGGGCGGAAGGGAGTGATCAGCAGTGGCAGCGGGATGGAGGCGAAGAATCGCGAGATAGAGGCACTGTGTGGTGCGCTGGAGGATGCTGAGAGGCAGTCCGCTGCCCTCCAAGCCAAGCTTGCCTCCCTGCAGCACGTGCGTGTGTCTCTGTGTGTGAGTGAGTGAGTGAGTGAGTGATTGAGTGAGTGAAGGAGGGAGAAAGTGAGGGTGTGAGTGATCATCACCACACTCACTGACCATGCCCACCACAACACTCAATCATGTCATATCAACACCCTGTCTCGCCCAACCATGCTATTGCACCAACACACCAACACACCAGCACCCATCATCCCTACCCAACTGCAAGCGAGCTCTGAAGCCTTATCCAAGAACAGAGACTCCACAGAGGCGAGGATGATTCAATCAAGCGCTCAGAGAGAAGCTGGCTGCTGCTGTAACGCTGTTGAAGAGTTCTTACAAGTTTCATAGGAGCACCCATCATCCCTACCCACCACCAGGCGAGCTCTGAGGCGCTGTCCAAGAACCGCGACTCTACAGAGGCGCGCATGATCCAGGCGCTCAGAGAGGAGCTGGCTGCTGCTGAGAGGCGGTGCGACGACGAGCATGCAGCACACCTCGCCACACGCCAGGTGAGGCTCTTACACTGGGCGAGCAGCAGTTGGGATTCTCGAGCTCTTGTTAGGTACACCGTACAAGTTTCCGCTAGACAGGAAGCAGCAGCGCGCGAGCTGGAGTTAGAGCAGCGGGTGGCAGAGGGGGTGCCTGCCAGCAGTCTCTTACCCAGTCCTTTCAGCCACTCGTCCTGATTCACTTCCCAATTCACTCACTTCCTACTTATCACCCTCACAGGAAGCAGCAGCACGGGAACTGGAGTTAGAGCAGCAGGTGGCTGAGGGGGTGGCGGCGCTGTCTCACTCATGCACTCCCCTCAGTCCTTCCTGGTTCACTCACACTCACATTCGTTCCCTCATCAACCCCACAGGAAGCAGCAGCACGTGAGTTGCTGCTAGAGCAGCAGGTGGCAGAGGGGGTGGCGGTACTGTCTCGCATGCAGAGGGCAGTGGAGGAGCGCACACATCCATCCTTAACCCCCTCGTTTACCCGCACTCTCCTCTCACACCCACTTGACAGGAAGCAGCAGCGCGCGAGCTGGTATTGGAGCAGCAGGTGGCGGAGGGTGTGGCGGCGCTGTCTCGCATGCAGAGGGCTGTGGAGGAGCGCACACAGCGGGTCTCGTCCCTGGAAGAAAAGATATCTGTGCTGGAGGTGAGAGGGGGGGTGGGGTGCGGGTGAGAGTTGCTGCTGGAGCAGCAGGTGGCGGAGGGCATGGCAGCGGTCTCTCTCATGCAGAGGGCCGTGGAGGAACGCACACAGCGAGTCTCGTCCCTGGAAGAAAAGATATCCGTTCTTGAGGTGAGAAAATGAGGGAGGGCGGCTGAGGCTGGAATGAGGTTGAGGGCGACAAGCGAGAGTTGCGGTTGCAGCAGAAGGTAACGGAGGGGAACGGGAGAGGCAGCGGCACACTCCCGCAGGCAGAGGGCAGTGCAGGTGCGCACACAGCGCGTGTCGTCACTGGAAGAATATATTTTCGTGCTTGAGGTGAGAGGGGGAGGTGAAGGGTGGGAGCGTGAGGGCGCATGAGGATTTAAATTGACTCAGAGGACGGAGCAGGAGCGCACACAGCGCGTGTCGTCACTGGAGGGGAAAAAAACCGTGGTCGAGGTGAGAGGGGAGGTAGTGGAGGGTGGTTGAATAAGGGTGGAGTGAGGGGGGCGTGAGTGTGTATGGGTGGGCACGGCACTGTATGACATGGTAGTGCAGTGCAGTGCATTTCCACATCATTCTGTATCATCTTATACATTGTTGTAGTAGTTCCAATTCTGTCTGCTGTGGTAGAAGAGGCATAACATTCGTGTGCAAGCCTAAATACATACATGAATTGTCCGTGTGCCTGCAGCATAGCCTCTTACTGCACACACATGTGCCTTTCTGTCTGTCCATTCATGCTTGACATTGCATGTACACGCATATATGGATGCACCTGTATGTATGAAAATGTTTGCACGCCTGCATGCATGCGTGATAATCCGGTTACAGATGGAGTGCAGCAGTCTGAACAGCGAGCTACAGGCACATGACGACAAGGCCAAGAGGGACCTTAGGCGGCCAGTCACAGCAGACGACCCCTCCGTCCTCGCGCAGGTACCATATACACATACATACTTGCATGGTGGTGCATGTGCTTTGCATGTGTTGTGCACTTTGCTTGCTTAGAATGTGAAGGGGGATTTCTTAGGCGCCCAAATATCGTCTGATTACTGTTTCAGGCATCTGTTAAGTCCCCTTCCTCCGATCCCTTTCCTCATTTTCCTTTCCTCCACCTTGCATGGCGGCTGGCAGGTGCAGGCATGGAAGGAGGAGGCGGAGCGAGCAAGGCAGCTGCTGCGAGAGGCAGAGGGGAAGCTGGCAGGCAGCGAGGTGAGCAGAGGAGCGGGGTGAAGGGGAAGGGTGGGAGACGAGGAGTTAGGAAATGTGGGAGGAGTCTTTTGATTGCGAGACAGTTGCTGCGAGAGGCAGAGGTCAAACTGGCTGGCAGTGAGGTGAGTGGAAGGGAGGAAGGAGAGAGGGCGGTGAGTGGGAGGAGTCTGTTTCTAATGAGCTCTAGATTGAGGCAAGCGAGGCAGTTGCTGCGAGAGGCAGAGGGCAAACTGGCTGGCAGTGAGGTGAGAGGAGCGGAGGGACGGGAGGCGATGGGAGGGGAGGGGAGGGGAGGGGAGGGGAGGGGAGGGGAGGGGAGGGGAGGGGAGGGGAGGGGAGGGGAGGGGAGGGGAGGGGAGGGCAAGGGAGCAGAGGAAACAGTGGCAGAGAGGTAGGAAGCGCGTGGAGAGGTGGAAAAGCATCTGCACCCTTACCTCCCTGCCGGCTCTCAACCCGCTCTTCCCATCACCCTCTCTCCCACTTATCCCCCTATCGCCTTAAGGCCACCCTACCCTGCTCTGCCTCCCTGTCTCCCTCTCCCCCTCCCCCGCTATTCATGTCTCCCTCTCTCCTACTTTTCCCCCGATCCCTCTCTCCCTCTCTCACCCTTATCCCCTCATCCCTCTATCCCTCCTGGTCCACCTGTGCAGGCAGAGGTGCAGAAGCTGAGGGTGGAGGTGGAGGCTCACAAGAGAGACGCAGACTCATCCTCGTTACAGGCATGTTCTGTTTTCTTCACATTTGAAAGTAATTATCTTTACAGATATATGCTGTGCGTTCTCTTCATTACTCTGTGCCCTTCATATTCCCTCCTCAAGTTGGGGGCTCCGTTTAAGTTACTCCTTATGTCTGCTCATGTTTTCTCATCCTCCCCTCATCTTCCCTCTCCCTCCTCTCCTCTCCTCTCCTCTCCTCTCCTCTACCTGTGCAGGCCAATGCAGAGATGGAGAAGCGGTTCAAGGAGTTGACAGAGCTGCTGGTGAGTTGACAGAGTCAGTCAGCGAGTTGTCAAAGCTACTAATCAGCTTGACAGAGTCTGTTAGGTGACTTAACGAGTTTGTTAGAGGGTTGATAGAGCTTCTTTGGCTTAACCCATTACTCTCATCCTCCTTTCCTGCCTGTCATCTCCCTTCTCCTTCCCCACCTTTTCACCCTTCTCCCTTTCCCCCATACCCCACCTCCTCCCTCTCTTCGCAGTGCCTAAAGTAGAGTCAACTGGAAGCGACGACGAGTGAGAGGCAAGCGGCAATGCTGCTTTGATCCACTGCGCTACCCTTCAACTCCTTGTCAGCTTCCCTCCCCTCTCTCCTGGTCCACTCACTCCCTCCCACACACTATGCACAGCAGTGCCAGAAGGAGAGTCAACTAGAATCAATGACGAGCGAGAGGCAGGCAGAGATGTTACTATTGTCTATGCGTTGACCCGCCATTTCATTCCCTTGCTCCTCTCATGCCTCTCACCCGGCCCTCCCCCCTCCGCTCCCCGCATTGCAGTGTCTGAAGCAGAGTCAATTGGAAGCAATGACGAGTGAGAGGCAAGCGGCAATGCTGCAACTGGACAAGGAGAGAAGAGAACTGCAAGTGGCCAAGGTAAACCGTCTTTCTAAACGCGTCAATGCTATCCATGTTCGTGAATCGTGCTGCAATCGGCAAAACCAGACTGCTTTATTGAATGTGTACTGGCAGTCTCAACCTTATGCCACATCCCTTTCTTTCCTGATCGTTTCCTTTCCCAACCCTCCGCTTTCTTTCAGGCGCAGGCAGAGAGGGACAGAGCGGCACGCCGGTCGATACTGATGGGCAGTCTGAACGCTTTGCAATATCCTTTGCTTTCCCACCTTTTCATCCCTCCTCCTCTCCCCCCCTCCCCCACCTCCCCCTTCCACACACATCCGACCCTTTCAGGCGCAGGCAGAGAGGGACAGAGCGGCACGCCGGTCGATACTGATGGCAGCGGATGATGAGGACAGCGAGATGCAGCCGCTGGAGTGAGTGGTGCTCTGCGGTGCCTTGTGGTGGGGTCGTTCTGGGAGTGGTGGAATGGTGTTGGGAACCGTGGTGCATGTAGTGAGTCTGTTTCTGTCTCAAAAGAGCACCTGATCAGGTGCGAGGTGTAGCCTCTGGAGTGAGTGGTGCTGTGTGGTGCTGTGCGGTGCGGTGCTGTGTGGTGCTCTGCGATGCTCTGCGGTGTGGTGCTGTTGGGTGTGGTCCTTTTCTTCTCCCCTTATATTTCCACCTCTCCGCGCCTCTACTCCCGCTTCTCACCGCTCCTTGCCACTTCTCTCACCTCATGTCACTGCATCTCACCACTTCTCACATTGACTTGCCGCTTCTCACCTCTTCTCACCGCTTCGCACCCCAATCAGGTCCGTGGGTCTGCCCAACCGGCGCTTCATAGGCAAGAGGATTCAGGTGAGATGCAAGCGCGTCGCGTCGCGCCTTAGGTCTGAAGGGGAGGGGAAGTGAGGAACGGGGAGACGGGGAGGGGTGGGGGAGAGTGTGGGATTACTTAACTAAAGATCGCTAAAAGAAGGCAACTTCAGTATAGAGAGCAGCTTCAACTTAGGTGAGAGGGACACTAGTGGAGCCTTAGATCCCAGTAGGTAGGGAAGTCACTTATCGCACTTCGCCTCCAAGGCTCAAAAAGAGGACTTTCGTCCACACCTCCTTCCAATACAACTTTTTCAATTTCTTAGGCGCCCTGACCTGAAAATAGACGTCCCCCATTCATCTCGCATCCCCTTTGACCCCTGTGCCTCCCGTGTCCCATTTTCTCCTCTTCTCCCTTCGTTGCTCGCCTCGCCACAGCAAGCAGCCAAGCTCATCGACCACTGCACAGTGACTGCCGGGGCCGTTCTCAAACCTACACACCCCCCGCCCTCCTCCCCCAACCAACCCCCCCTTTCTACAGCAAGCAGCAAAACTCATCGATCACGGCACAGTGACTGCCGGCCGCTTCCTCTGGCGCCGCCCTCTGGCCCGCCTTGGACTTGTCTGCTACCTGGTACGTGCTCTGCTCTGCTCACCATGTGCCTCTTTTGATGCGCGTCCAGTTTCCAATTGAGTCATCACTTGTATTGAGGCGCCTAAAAGGTTGTCACTTGCCCGCCTTGGGGTTGTCTGGTACGTGGTACAACGCCATGTGCTCTGCTCGCCATGTGCTCTGCTCGCCATGTGCTCTGCTCGCCATGTGCCACCTCCTGATTTTTCTTGTTATTGATCAATCTTAGTCTGACTGACATTCAAAGGCTTCTGTGATGATAACTGACCTGACTTACCCTTCCCCTCTCCTTGTGGGTGCTTGCATCATCTCCATTCCATTCCCATTTCATTATCCTTCTCTCTCACATCGCCACCGCAGGTCTTCGTTCATCTGTTTCTCATGTACCTACTGCACAGACTACAGGTGAAATTCCTTGCCTCAAGTATTTGCAACTTACCCTCTGAAAGATTACAGGTCTTCGTTCTTCTGTTGCTCGTGTACCTACTGTACAGATTACAGGTAATTACCCTCTTCACATTATCATCTGCTCGTTTTTTTGTATGTTTTTTTTGTTTCCTTCTTCCGTAAAGCTGGTAGTTCACCGCAGGTCGGCCACGCACGAATCTATCCTCGTGTGATGAGACGATGTTTGAGTCGACTCAAAAATCATCTCATCACACGCAGATCGGCCACGCACGAATCTATCCTCAGCACCAAATCAGGGAATGATAGTGCATCAGCCACGGATGTCTGCACCAGTCAGGTCAAATTTCCTACTTAGCTGCTCACAAGTCATTGTTTCGTTCATTTCCCCCAGGAGCAAACGGATGGGCTGCTGAACAAGGGCCAGGTCTACTTGGCTGCAGGGGAAGCAGCAGGATATCAGAGAGACGTTTTAAAACCCTTCCCTCCCCCGCTTCCCCCCGCTTTCACGCCTCTTTCCCTCGCCCAGGAGCAAGCGGACGAGCTGTTGAACAAGGGCCAGGTCTACTTGGCTGCAGAGGCAGCAGCATGGCTCTGGGCTAAAACGTCTCAAAATACCTCCTCCTTTCCCGCTCCTGCTCTCCAATTTCCCCCCCACCCCCCAGGAGCAAGCGGACGAGCTGTTGAACAAGGACCAGGTCTACTTGGCTGCAGAGGCGGCAGCAGGGATTATAGAGACCTCTTGAACCCTCCTCTCCCTCCTCCGCCCCCTCATCCTCTCTCCCCCACGTGTTTTTTTTGGGACAGGAGCAAGCGGACGAGCTGTTGAACAAGGACCAGGTGTACTTGGCTGCAGAGGCAGCAGCAGGGATCGTGAAGCCCCACCCCGCTCGCCGTTAGTGGTGTGTCATTGCCTGGTTCATGAGACCTCTTCACTGCATAGAGGCTGCAGAACCTGGGGCGGGAAGGTGCATAAGCAGCAGCAGGGATTGTGAAGCCCCAACCCACTCAACGCTAATCGCGCCTCACTGCCTGATTTATGAGTTTTCTCGACTGCTGGGGCTGCAGAGGCAGCAGGGACGGCAGAGGTGGCAGTGAGACTGCAGAGGCAGCTGCAGCTGCTATTCTGCTGCTTGAAGGGAGGTGGTGATGGTGAGGGTGATGGGTGTCGTGGTGGTGCTGGTGGCGGTTGCGGGTGTTGGTTGGTGCTGCTGGTGTGTTGCCTGCTGCTGCTTGTGGTGGTGTTCCTATGATGCCTAATATGCCAGGCTGGTGCTGATGCCGAGGATATCTTTGGTGGCTCAATATATTTCACGTACCAAGAATGGGCGTGTGTATTATAGAACCCCCTAAAGAAAACTGTGTGCTAAGTAGCATCTCAACTGGCCATTTCACATTTTGCACTGCTATTTGAAAAAGAAATGTTTTAAGTACACTGTTCATGTACACTGACCTCTGCTGTAATCCACTCCTCACTTGCGACAAACCCTTGCCAGCTAGGTTCCAGCATGCCAGGACAGAAAAGTTTCCCGTTCGCCCCTCGGAGTTCTGTGGCGGCAGCGCTTGGATAAATATGCAATCCCTTGCGAATCACCCACATACGTGTACTCAGGTTTCAATAGTCAACCTCAGAATGCGACACTGGGTTTAAAAAATACTGTACCCGGGGAACCTCTCCTGTTGACTGGAAGCCGACCTGATGTCATTGCGGTCTATTTGTTCGAGGGTTTTTAGTTATTGCGGAAGGGGTACTTCCGAACCTGCGCTTTCTAGGGAGCTTCATCTCTACCTGCACAGAGTTTCCCAGGTTTCGACGCCCAGACAGAAGACTTATTGCGCTGGGACAGAACTCGGCTCCACGTTTACCCACGTGTCATCATCTCGTAAGGCCTTAGCTGCTACTAGTCAGGCAAACGATGCACAACAGAATTTGTTTTTTTTTTCCTCTCTAATCCGCACTAAACTAAATCCCTCTCGGCTGGCAAGTGATAGGGGGCATCAACCCTAAACACTGCGACTAAGTGTTTAGGGTTGATGCCAAAAATAATCCCTCTTGGTTGGCATGTAAATAAAGGGCATCAATCCTAAACACCTAATCGCGTGGAGTTTAGGGTTGATGCCCTCGAAAACTTGCCACCCGAGAGGGGTTTAGTTTTGTGCTTGCTGGCAGAAGACACCCGATGAAAACAGTGCTTGCGTGACGTGCGGAGAAGCCGAGTTCTGTGTTAGCACAATAACTCTTCCGCCTCAGAAGCGGATCAGCGGAAAGTGTGCGCAAGCTGAGATGAAAGTCCCTTGAAAGAAGGACAGCTACAGTAAGCCTTCCGGGGAAACTAAAAACCCTTTGTTCGAGGTACACGTACCTCCAGTCCAGTCCGCCCCTGAATTTGACCAAAACTCTTAGGTTTCCCACCACCCATTTTGAGGTGTGGTGGCCAGTGGTAGTTCGTTTTGTGGTTGGAAATTTATAATCGGGCAGAGTGGTCCGTTTTGCTCCACTCGGCTTGTTGGCCAACATCCGATTGGCTACTGGATGCTCCACTGCCCACCACAGGTGCTAGCGGGCACCTGGGATGGGAACACCGAGGTATGTGTATATGTAACCCTATCACGAAATAATTTGGCGAGATGCGAACGTCGCCGTTATCTGGTTCCTTTCATCAGTGCTCAACTGCCCTAAACTGCGCCAACTACCGTACAGCTGTGCAAGAGAGTCAGTCCCTAGCCGCATATCTATCCACCGTAGTTTATCGTTGTTGCCTAGCGACTAAATCGGTAGTTATTTCGCCAAAGCGGCTATTCATTGAGGAGTAATTCCGTCCGCGTAAAATTTGGCGCTTACTGCACTCATGGTCATTGTAAGCTGCTCAATATACTCGACGGATCGTCTAACAGGCTAAGATGGCATAAAGTACCCATTTAGGTCGGCAATGAGTCGATGTGCGAATGGGTCGGCACCACCTCCTCCGTCAATGAGAGGCACTTAAGTCTACGAATGGCAGCACCATTCGCGTTGAGCCTTGCCCAGTCCCGCATAGTAACCACACTCGTTTGATTACGCGTTAATCATAGCATCTTTGTAATAGAATCGTAGTTAACCATGGCCGCTCGCGACGAGTGCTACAGCCCGCTAAGCTACAGCCCCCTCAGCAGCCCCGTGTCCAGACACTACTATAACGAGGATGGGAACGAAGCTACAGCCGGCGGGCATTACCGGAAAGACTCGGGGCAATTATTAGACGAGGCGTGGGAGACGCTGGCGGACGAAACTCCGCTCTCCGTTCCCCCGCAGCACGACATTGTCCCCCGATCGCGCAGCAGCACGTCCCCGCTGCACTCGCGCCCGGGGGGAGCCGCGTCCAAGATCAGCGAATCCGACTTGCGAAACTTCGCGAATTTCGTCAAGACCAAGACAGTTACGGAGTCCGCGGGCGGGGGAAGCGGTCGCTCGTCGAGCGGGGGGGCCAGCGGCGGGGCCGGCAAGGACGGAGGTGGAAAGTTCCAGCGCCTCTGGTCGTTTCGGAACGGCGCGAAAGGAGGGGAAGAAGGGGGAGATGGCGGAGGCGGAGGGGCAGGGGGGACCGCGGGGACCGGCACCGGGGGAAGCGGCACGGCGGGGAGCGCGGAAGGCAGGAGCGGGGGAAGCGGGAAGAAGGAGCGGTTTCTCGAGCAGGTGATTAAAACGGGCGGACAAGCAGCCCGCGTGTGGTCCAATCCGCGTCGCCGAAGTTTCGCGGAAGACGACGCGCCTTCGCCGATGCGGTCCGCGACATTCACGCGCGCTACGATTAGGACTAGCATCGGGGGCGGAAGCAGCACGGGCGGAAGCAGCGGTGGCGGAAGCAACAGCGGCTCAATTCCCGCTTCCGCGTCGGTGGACGACGGGGACGAATCACCCCCCGATTTCTTCCGCCGGTCCGCAACCGTGTGCTCTTCCGATGCCGCGTCGCTCGAGCTGACGCAGCAAGCCAAGCAATATCCACAGCAACAACAGCAGCAGCAGCATCAGAAGCTTCAGCTGTCGCAGCAGCAGTGGGCGGCGTCTGGTCTCGCTTCCGGTTCCGCCTGCGGGGGACGCTCGGAGTCGCCCCCGCAGGATCCCCGCAGCGGCAGCGCGGGGAAATCGCGGAACAATATCCGGGGTAGCGTGAGTGGAGAAGCGAGCAGCGACGCCGCTGGGAGCGGTTCGGAACACCGCAGCATAAGTGGTGTCGCCCGTAGCGGAAGCGTCGGCAGCGGCAGCGGCGGTAACGGCGACGGCGGTGGCGGCTTTGTCGCTAACAACTCTCCTTTCAACGCCCGACCTAGATCGCCTGCTTTTCCGCGGCCCAGGTCCCCGATTTGCGCGCCTTCGCGGGCAGCTGCAGCGGCGGCACCGCCGCCAAAAGTGGCGTATTTTTCGTTCGACCGGCACCGGGAAGCGGTGGCGGAAGCGGAGCAGTTAGATGCGGAAGAAGAGGCGGCGTCCCGCCAGGGAAGGCGGAGGGATGCGTTCAAAAGCGCGAGCGTTGGTTCGAGTAGCAGCGCTAGCGCGGGCGGAGGCGCAGGGGATGGTGGGAACGCGAACGGGGCTGGCGGTGGTGTGGGATGGCCTGCAGAAAGTGGCGGAAACGCGGAGGGAAGCGCGCAAGTTTTGCGCCGAGGAGCGAAGGGGGGGAGTTTCGAAAGTATGGCGCAGGCGGGGCCGATTGGAGGTGTGGGCGAATTCGGTAGCGGGCGGCGGAGCGGGGTTGCGCGGGGAGCAAAGGGTGAAGGCACAGCGCGTGCGTGGGAATTGACCATTACGCAGGATGGTGACTATGGCGAGGGGAAGGACGACGAGCGCGAGTTGACCCCCACGAAGGACGCTTCGTCAAAGCATCGACGAGGATTCAGGTGAGTGTACAATGACTCTTAAAGTAATGAACACAGTATCAACATATTTACAAAAATCACACAAGCATGCACAGATGGAACTTCAGTTTGCTCCCAGATATATGTGCTCCCAAGAGTGATGATTTGTACAGTAATGCTGACCATCAACAAGCGCATTCTGTGTCACGATTCTATGATACGTCAGAATTTCACCGCGTTACCTGCAATACTATTCTTGAATCAAGCATTGATGTAAAAGTCATTATACAGTTTGGGTATGTATTAAAGTACATTTATTTGTCAAGCAGGCATACCAAATGATTCGAAGGGAGCCCGTGGAAATGAGTAATGTAGTCGTAAATTTGTAATTCACAAACTGCAAAGTATATGTTGTTACGAAGCTGCGTTGGTCTGGACTAATATGCCCGCAAGTTTTGCCTGCTCAGAGAAATACCCTTGCCAAGTCTGTCTACAAATTAATGATTCAGTAACATGTAAACCCAGTGGGTTCTTTCTCTGTGCAATTCCTTTTTGCTACTTTCCTTTGGCCTGGATTCCTCACTCAGCAATAATCATATCTGTTCCCCCCCTCCCTTACTCACCTCTACCTCTCCCACACTCCACTCCCTACCCATTCCCTTCCTATGCAGTGCTTCTTCTCCCACACTCTTCTCCTCCCTTATCATCTTTCGTCCACATTCCCTTCATATTCACCTCTCTGCCTACCAAACTCTCCTCCCTCCCCACCAGGATTCCCTTCTGTCCCCATTTCTTCTTATCCTCATCTGCCTACCACACTCCCCTCCCTCCACACTTCATTCAACCCCCATTCACTTCCTATTCACCCCTTTCTCCCCCACACTCCTCTTTCTCCCTCCCCACCAGGAGTCGCTCCTTAAGTGGAATCGGCGCTTCCAACGGGACCAATTCCCCAGAAGCCCCCACTCTCCCAACTTTCCTCTCTAGCTCTTTCTTTTCCAAACTCCACTCTTTTCCCATTCCCTTCCTATGCACCTCTTCCTCTCCCACATTCCCCTCTCACCCCCCTCCGTCTCCCCTCCCTCCCCACCAGGAGTCGCAGCTTCAGTGGAATCGGCACTCTCAACGGAACCAACTCCCCCGAAGCCCCCACCCTCCCAACCTTCCCCTCCTCTTCCTCTCCCAACCCCGGAAGCCCCCTCTCCTCCGAACGACGCACATACTCCCCCCACGCCTCCCTCCCCACCTCCACCTCCTCCTCCTCGCGAGTCCGCCCCCCCCGGTCCTCCACAGGTGTGATTCTCCCGCCTCTTGGTGCTTCTTCCCACGGCCACCATCCCCATCACAGGCCCACAATCCCCCATCGCCGTACAGTGTCCGTTGATGAGCATGGGCTAGTGGGGCGGGCTTTAATGCAGGCTTCAATAGAGGAACAACACCACGGGAAGCCGCCGCAGCAGTATCAGCACCAGCAGCAGTACCAGCAGCAGCAGGGTTCGCAAGGGTACGGTGGTGGTGGTGGTGGTGGTGGTGGTGGTAGAGGGGATTATGAAGTAGATGCTGATGATGAGTCGCCCGGACGTAGCCCGTACAACCGGCAGCCGCAGGCTCGGCGGAACCGAACCGAGGTGACGCGGCGCCGACCCTCCACCGCCATGCCGGACGTCGGGGGGGGAGGTTCGGAAGACGGGTCGTACCGGAGGTCTAGGAGCGTCGGGCATGGGTACGAGCTGTATTTACCCCCGGTTTCTGGGGGTATTGGTGCGGGTGGGGGGGGTTCTGGGCCTCCTGTGGGGGATACCTGGCCAGCAGGAAGTGGGAGGGAGAGCATGAGGGAGGGAGTGAGGAGGACTAGGAAGTCGTCTCATTTGAGGAGGCCTAGTCTTGAAGGGGAGGGGTGTTATGAAGGTAGAGGGGAGCGGGAGGCAGGAGAACAGTATGCTGATGGTAGGTCGGACGGAAGGCTGCAGCAGAAGCAGGGAATGGGGAGTGGTGGTGGTGGCAGAGGGAGGGCTGGAGGGGAAGGAGAGGAGGAGGGCCGCTTGGAAGAGGGGGAGAGGAGAAGGGCTGATTATGTGCGGCAGCGAGAGAGCTCGCAGCAGCACAAGCAGCAGCAGCAGTATGCGGAGGGTAGGTCGAGGCAGCAGGAGGAGAGAGGGTATGAAAGGGCAAGAGGGAGGTCTCATTCTTACAGTGAGATGGTTTATGAGGAGGAACAGGAGCGGGGACAGGAGCAGGAGCGTGGGAATGAGCAGAGGCAGGGGCAGGGGCGAGAGCATGAGCGGGGGCAGGAGCAGAGGCAGGGGCAAGGGTGGGAGCAGGGGCAGGGGCAGCAGAGGCAGAGAGGGCAGAGGGGGCCGGATGTGCATCAGCAGGAGTATGCATCAGCAGGAGCAAGGGTATGAAAGGGAACGAGGGGGGTCCTACTCATTCAGTGAGATGGTGTGTGAGGAGGAGCAGGGGGAGCGGCAGGGGCAGGAGCGGGGACTTGAGCAGAGGCAGGGGCAGGGGCGGGAGCAGAGGCAGGGGCAGGAGCAGAGGCAGGGGCAGGTGCAAGGGCAGGGGCAGGGGCAGCAGAGGCAGAGAGGGCAGAGGGGGCCGGATATGCATCAGCAGGAGTATGCAGACGGTAGGTGTAGGCAGCAGCAGGTATGAGTATGAAAGGGCATGAAGGAGGTCTCACTCATCAGTGAGATGGTGTATGAGGAGGAACAGAGGCAGGGGCATGAGCAGAGGCTGGGGCACGAGGGGGCGGGGCAGGGGCAGGGACAGGGTCAGGGGGATGAGCACGTGCGAGGGCAGGGGCAGCAGAGGCAGGGAGGGCAGAGGGGGTCGGACATGAGAAAGCGGGTGGATGATTCTCGTCGTCTGCTCCTGTTGCTTCAGCACGGATGGGCATATAAATGGAGGATGCAACGTGGAGAAGGAGAACCTTTGTTCTACAGTAACGGGCGAAATAATTCCAGATTGCAGTACCATCCTAGACATGTTGTGTGAAATGGTATGGTACAGTATATTACTTCCAGCCGCAATTTCCTTATCTCTTTTAGACTTGTTTCGTCGTAACTTGTTTATTCATAACGAAACATCCCAATGATACGCATACTCATCTCATCCCTAGCCACGATGTGTCTTGGGCTTGTCCCATCCCATACGCGTTGCTGGGGCGTGTTTCTGTCCGTGCAATGAGCCATGATTTTTCCCGTGCAGCTTCGGGGCAGGGCGTGGTCTGCTGCAAGAAGCCCTGCTGTTCAATCTTGGGTTATATTTCTCGCTCGTCTCGCCTCGTTAGCTTCTAGTGCGCCTTCCAAATCCGCGTCATTTCTGCGCCCTACTGTCTCGGCTCACTTCCCGCCGTGTTTCTCTCGCCGCGTCACGCGCGAGCAACCATTATCGCGCTGCTGCTGCAGAACCTTCGCTCGTCGGTGCGACCTAAAGCCGCCGCAAAGGATGGGTTGTCGCCGGGTCCGTGAGTGGTGGAGATTAGCTGATACCAGCTCAATCTTCCACCTGAGTATATACCAGCGACTTCCTGAATATTTTCGCGATCGCAGTAACGCATCCTTTCTGAAGTCGGACTTCGTACTCGTTGCCTTCGCTGGAAACGACGGCTAGCTTTTGCGGGTTTCCGCACTGATCACGAATACTAGGATTCGTCTACCCTCGCTAACCCTGAATTGCTTGGTACCCGCGCCGGCTAGTCGCTCCGTGTGTCATGGCGGCGACAGCTCAGTGCAGCTTACGGGGGGGGATGATCACCCTCCGTAATGCCAGCCTCACCCAGTCTGCCTCTCCCCTCCGCCACTTTAACCGCTGCTTCAACCGCCGCGCAGCCGCGACGGCCGGCGTGTTAGCGCCATCCGCGGATGCTGCTGCTGTTACGAGATTAATAACAGTTGTCAACGGAGGTGCCGCCGGCACCAACGCGCTAACCGCAGCCGTCGAGAACATCGCGGCTCGGTCGCTATCCGTCGCCACCCAGGCCTCCTTATTCACTGCCGTTGCCCTTTTCGTCAGCAACTCGCCCGCAGTAGCCGCTGATGACGTGGTGGCAGCTGACGTGGCAAGCTCTCCGTTTCCGCAGGAGATTCGACGCGGCGCACCGCGGCATCAGATTGGCACCCAGTCTCTCGCGCAAATCGCGGCTTCTCAACTGCGAACCGCGCCGCCCTTAACGGTTACATCCACTGACGTCGTAGAAACGGCAGAAGTGGCGGCGGCGGACACGGCGGATATGGCGGAACAGGCGGACACAGCGGCAGCGGAGGCGGCGGAGGCGGCGGAAGCTCCCAAGGTGCTGGACGGAGCGCGCCTGCTGACGGAGAGCCAGCGCGGCGCGATGCTGCGACAGCTGTCGGATCTGGAGTCGCGCGACGGGTGGCGGATTCGCGTGGCGACGCGGTACGGGATGGAGAACGGTTTAGATGGCAAACAGATTCGCGACTTGTGGCAGGTGAGAGGCGGAGGAAGGGGGAAAGGGGGAGGGGAAGGGGGGAAGGGTGTGGGGATTAGGGGGTGTGGGGGGGAAGGGGCGGAGTCTGCAAGGGATTTAGTTTTGAGACGCTCCAGAACCGGTTTTTGAGGGATTGGCCGCGTGCTTAGGGTTTCGATATCGAAACACTAAGATTTCGTTGCCTCTCCCCTTCGTTGCTCTCATTTCTTAGCGATTCTTTTAGCGCACCTCGTAACGTATATCCTTTGCTTATCATTCCTTGAACAAACCCTCGTCTTCCTCTGGTTGCGTCGCAGCCGTCGGATCGGACGGTGATTGTGGTGGCTGACGTGGCATCACCCAACATCCTCAGCTTCAGCATTGGAGAGGCTGTGCGGTCCAAGCTGCCTTACCAGTTCTTCACAGAGCTGCAATCCAGGTGTGTGTGTGATTCCTTTTCTAAGGTTGATACTACAAGGTGCTTCCTAAGACAGTTACCACCTGGGTGCTTCGGAGACGCTGTGTGGTCCAAGCTGCCCTACCAGTTCTTCACAGAGCTGCAATCCAGGTAATTTCCCTTTTAAGGTGTCTCAGTTTCCTGTATAAGGTTCACATTTAAGTCGCCATCAGTGAGGCTGTGCGGTCCAAGCTGCCCTACCAATTCTTCACAGAGCTGCAAATCCAGGTGCGTGCGTGTGTGTGCGGTCTGTTCCTAAGATTGATACTGTAAGGTGCTTCATAAGCCAGTTACCGCCTGGGTGCTGCGGGGACACTGTGTGGTCCAAGCTGCCCTACCAGTTCTTGATGGAGCTGCAATCCAGGTAATTACCTCACCTCTGTCTCCCCTCTGCCCCTCCCGCTTTCGCTCCTCCGACCCTTGTTTCCCAAACCTGTACCTCCACGCCAGGTACGGCAATCAGTTCTTCGTTCGGCAAGAGGGCGAGTCCGAAGCTCTCACTCGCTCCGTCGATGCCATCCGAACCTGCCTCACCGAGCCTAACGGCTGCCTCAAGGTCCCAGGCCTGGTAGACGACCTCTACTTCCTCACGCTCGGCGTGTCCGTAGCTGCAGGTGCGGTTTTCGGCTTTTCTGCGCGACTCCCGCCCCATGGCCAAGTGGAAGCTTCCTGGCAATGGGTGGCGATTTTCTCGCCCCTCTGGCTGTTTCTGCTGCTGGCATTTGGGGTGTTCCCTGTGGTCGATCGGACGGCTGATCTTGAACCGTTGATTAAGAATCTGTTAGGGTTTGCAGGGAGTGCAGGAGCAGTGTATATGACACCGATTTTAGGGGAGAGCCCTGTTGCTAGGCTAGGGAAGACTCAAAAGGAAGATGGAGACGTTTGAGTGTCTGTTGGTTTCGGGGTGGTGTGGTGTGGTGTGGTGTGGTGTGGTGATATCTGTGGGGGGCGTTGTGTGAGGTGTGGTGTGGTTTGCGGGAAATAAGTTTGCACGTGCTGCAGCAGCCACGCCTCATAATCTCAAACATGGTGCGAGACTGCTGTAGCACAACACAATAGATATTCCGTAGTAACTGTTTCATAGGCCATTATTTCTGGTAAGTTCTACTGTCCTACTAACTGGCCACACTTGTCGGTGCATCACGAACATGCCGCATGGGTATTTTTGCTTTGATACCAGCCAGACTGACTGGAAAGACAAATCTAACAAAAGCCTACACCAGTACAGTAGGCTACTATAGAAACCCCAACACATCAAACCACCCTTATCCACAGAGTAACCCAACCAGCACAATTCTTCTGATTACTGGCACTGCATGGCATGCTAAAGGCGTCATGTGTCGTGTCTTGTAATGTCATGTCATGTCATGCCATGGAATGTAGCATGTCACTGCTGCAGTCATTTTCTGTTCAGGTTGAAGCGCACTTGCTGGGAAGTATGGCAATGGGTGGGATGGGAGTAGTAAGGAGATGGGATTGGCTTAGGATGACTAAGTAAGCCAGCTGTGAAAGCAGCAAAGGGGGGATTATCGTGACGTCTCAAAATACTCAGTACATACTTAGAGATCACCACTGCAGCAGCCTTGAGCAAGGAGAGGAAGTAAGCTGGTTGTGACTGCATGCAGGTTCTAAAGTATGTCTTAAGAATCTACCAACGCACCTTGAGCAGAGAGAGTAAGTAAGCTGGCTGTGAGTGCTTGCTGGCGCCGTCGAACAACAGCTAGGCATACCAGAATACTGATCACATACCCGGAGCACAACCAGGCCTCAACACACCTTGAGCAAGGAGAGGAAACACGCTGGCTGTGAGTGCTTGCTGGCGCTTTGAGTTTTGGTCATATCTGAATACTGATCACACACCCTGAGAGCACAGCCCAGCCAGCAACGCACCTTGAGCAAGGAGAGGAAGTATGCGGGCCGTGAGTGCTTGTCGGCGCCGGTACCATTCAAACAACAGCTAGGCATTCCAGAATACTGATTATGTACCTGGAGCACAACCAGGCATCAGCTCACCTTGAGCAGAGAGAGGAAGTATGCCGGCTGTGAGTGCTTGCTCGCACCGGCACCGTCGAACAACAGCTTGGGCTGCTCGCTCTGTGGGATGAAGCGAGTGAGTTTATATAGGGTACGATTAGCAAGAGAGAGGATAACAAAGAGGAAAGAGCGAAGCCATACGATTTGATGGAAAGCGGCGATGTGAGTAAATTATGTAGGCGCCAAAAATACAAACTGGAGTGGAGGGTTGCCACAGAAAAGAGGGACGAATGGAGCCAGATGATTCGAAGGGAAGATCTGAAAGAGGGACAAACGCGAGGTGAGGGGAAAATGGGTAGTGTTTGCTAGAAGAGGATTTTTGAGGCGCCTCAAAAATAGTGTTTGCTAGAAGAGGAAGATCTGAAAGGCATAAAAGACGTTACCAGGAAGCTAACCGTTGTGATGGTATCGAGTCTTTTCTTAAGGAGAGCATCCTGAGAGACAATGGGTAATCAGGGATGGGCAATTGGAACGATGCAACCGTGGGGAGCAGCATGGGAAGAGTAGCCGCTTGAATATAAAGTTGTTTTGAGAAGTTCCGGATCAGAGAAGCTGGGGGAGGAAAAGGCCGGGACGGGCTGTACTAAAGCTGCTAGATGCCTATTACTTTATTAAAAAAGCAAGTTTCGCCCTTCTGCCTGACACATTGCTCTCTCCTCACTCACGCTACTCACCCTGCCACTTCCTTGCTCACAGCCTCCCTCACTCCCACCCACCTTGTCTAGTTTCTGCGAGTCGGGGCGAAGCACCACCCCTGTGGCCACACGAGACACATGCGGCACCAGCACACCCATGCACTGACAGCTGTGCCACGCACCGCACTCCCACCCACCTTGTCTAGCTTCTGCGAGTCAGGGCGAAGCACCACCCCCGTGGCCACGTGCTTGTAGAACACGTAGGGGACACGTGGCACTATGTCGTGGTCATTTGCGATGCGCCAGCTGTCGCCCACCAGTTGGTTGAAGCGAGCTGCAAAGGCGTGGTTTCCCACACGGGGCGAGCCGAAGTTGTAGAGAGAGAGGGTGAAGCCGTGCTGCCTGTGGTGGAAGGGGAGATTGAGATTGAAACGACTTTTGAGGCGCCTCAAAAGGCGTGGTTTCCCACACGAGGCGAGCCAAAGTTATAGAGAGAGAGGGTGAAGCCGTGCTGCCCGTGGTGGTGTTGGTATAGAGAAATTGGAAAGAGGGGGATGTATGAAAGGAGGGAGGGTTTTGCGTCTCCCCACAAGACACATGAGGTCAGCTCTGAAGTTGAGTTTTGAGGCGCCTCAAAACTAGACTCCCCACAAGCCACACGGGGTGAGCCGAAGTTGTAGAGAGAGAGGGTGAAGCCATGCTGCCTGTGGTGGTGTTTAAGGGTGATTGGAAACAGGGGGATGTATGGAAAAGGGGGAAGAACTTGAGACTCCTCGCAAACTACACGAGACAAGACGAAGTTGGTTGAAGCGAGCTGCAAAGGCGTGGTTTCCCACACGAGGCGAGCCGAAGTTGTAGAGAGAGAGGGTGAAGCCGTGCTGCCTGCGGTGGTGATAAGGGGAGATTGAGATTGAAAGTAGGAGGGCATATGGAGAAGAGAATGGGATTTGGGTCTCATCACAAGCCGCACGGTAAGAGGCAAAGTTGATATACAATCGAAACGGAATATATACAGCAGCCACATACATGCTTCAGCATAAAAAAATGTATGCAAATACGTGCACGTAGATGTAAATACATTATGTAAATGTCTACCGCACGCCTTCTTGCACATCACCACCCTCACATTCACCGCACTCAGTTCCTCTTCAGGTCAGACTAGGCGAGGTGGAATTTTGAGGCGCCTTCCCTCAAAAGTCGCCCCAAAGTCTTAACATTCACCGCACTCGGTCTTGACGTCGGACAAGGTGAGGTCGTATGTGAACAGGGCGTGCAGGGAGCGTGACGTTTGAGTCGACTCAGAAGTCACCTTGACGTCGAACTAGGCGAGGTCGTATGTGAACAGGGCGTGGAAAGAGCGCACTCAAAGCACATTGCAGCCTTCTCTCCGGTTTTCATCACACCACACCACTTTTGAGGCGCCTCAAAAGACAAAGCCAACTGCGGCCTTCTCTCCGGTTTTCATCACACCACACCACACAGCTCCTTTTATGTTTCTGCTTCACCACGTCCCACTCACTTCTTGAGGTCGGACTGGGCAAGATCGTATGTGAAGAGCACCACACAGCTCCACAACACACCATACCGCACACCACCTTTCTTACTCTTCACCTTCGGCCCACTCACTTCTTGAGGTCGGACTGGGCTAGGTCGCATGTGAACAGTGTGGAGAGAGCGAAGTTTGGAAAGGCGTTGCTTGCAACTTTTCCTTTTGCTGTTACAATCACATTCGTCACACTCACTTCTTGAGGTCGGACTGGGCAAGGTCGTATGTGAAGAGCGTGGAGAGAGTGGAAAGAGTGCTCTGATACCGCAATCAGCTACATCATACTCACTTCTTGAGGTCGGACTAAGCTAGGTCGTATGGAACGCACCCACGGCAAGTTGTGGCCTCTTTTTTTCTTTCTTTCTTTCTTTTTTTTTCATCGCACCACACCATATCACACATCACCTATTTTACCTGCCTACTCACTTCTTGAGGTCGGACTGGGCCAGGTCGTATGTGAAGAGAGTGGAGAGTGCGCCTCCCAGGCTGTGACCCGTGACCATGATGTGATACCTGGTGGGAGGAAGGTTTGGTGGAATGGTGGCATGGTGAGGGCGATGGTTAATGGCATTGTTAGAAGAGCGTGGAGAGTGCGCCCCCAGGCTGTGACCCGTGACCATGATGTGATACCTGGTGGGATGATGGGAACTGGTGATCTGGTGCTGTGAACATTAATACGGCAGGGCTTCACATACTTGAGTTTTGACACGTCTCAGAACTTTTGAGTCGACTCAGAAATCACTTTTGAGTCGACTCAAAAGTCACTTCACATACTTGGGTCTTGACACGTCTCAGAACTCGATCCCAAGCTCACGTTGGTTGAAACTTACTTTTCGGTGGAGGAGGCGAGAATAGCTTTGAGCAGCAGCAGGAGCCGCGGCTTCACAGACTTGTAGCCGCCCAGAAAGCCGTCATGCACCTGAGAGAGGGAGCATTGGAGGGAAGGGGAGGGCATGAGAGAAAGGTTGTTGGGAGTATGCAGACCACAGTGGTGTGCCTGACTGAGCAGCAGCAGGAGGCGAGGCTTCACAGACTTGTAGCCATCGAGAAAGCCGTCATGCACCTGAGAGTGCGGGAGCATTGGAGGGAACATTCAAGGGAAACAGGAGGAGCATGTGAGGACACGAGAGGTTGTTGAGGAAAGGGGCCAACAGTGGTGTGCCTGACTGAACAGCAGCAGGAGGTGAGGGTTCACGGACTTGTAGCCGTCCACAAAGCCTTCATGCACCTGAGAGAGGGAGCAATGGGAACAGAGGGGAAGGACACAAGTGATATCATCCTCTTAAAACAGTTTTTTTTTACTGGCACAAACCTATTGGAGACTGGGAATGCGCATGCATTGCAAGACCAAGCGTTAGCACACGCACATCATACAACCCATTCAAAATCCAACGTTGCTTCTGCTAAAATTTCTGTCACCTTGATGTCCATCTTGTTGTCCTCTTCAATTCAGTCTTTTGAGGCGCCTCAAAAGTCAAGTGCACATCACACATCCATCCCATTCAAAATCCATGCTTCTGCTAACTGTTCTGTCACCTTGATATCCATCTTGTTGTCCTCTTCAGTCAAGTCAGAATCGAAGCTGTTATTGGGGTAGGAAGGAAGGGAAGGAGGAGAGACGGAGCTCAGGAAATGCAGAGGGACGAGAGGGAGGAGGGGAGAAAAGATAGTGGCTTTTAGTCGACTCAAAAAGACAGTGGAGGGGAAAGGATTGGTGCAGAACAGTTTCCCATTGGTTCGTTCTCAACAGTGAGATGTCTGTTGTTGTTCTAGTTCACTGATGATGTATCGTTCCTGAGATACCTTCAGAAAATGTAAAAAAATCAGGTTAAATATGTTTGACCCTTACTTTTGAGACGCCTCAAAAGTAAATACCTTCTAACTTTCTCAAAAACAGGTTAAATAGGTCCAACCCTGAACCGCGAGATAGGAAATCGTGAGAGTTAAATTCCGGAATAACAGAAGGTATTTTGTGTGTTCAAAATTAGAGCCACTAGTAAAAGAAGCTGAAAGATGTGGACAGGAACGCGGGAGAGGTAAGCGTGCACAGGCAACTCTGCGAGCGACACTCACTTCTCCTTGTGCAGCCTCAGGCTGAATCTGTTTTTTTTGAGAATTCTCAAAAAACAGAATCACGGGGGAGGTAAGGGTGCACAGGCAACTTTGCGGGCAACTCTGCGAGGTCAGGGCCCACAACGGGTCCACAGACACTCACTTCTCCTTGTGCAGCCTGAGGTCCGTCAGAGCATCCTTGATCTTCTGCCCTGCCTGTTGGTTGGTGGCCGAGGGAAGCAAAGGAGCAAGGAGAGAGGGTGGGAGGGGGCAAATGCGGGATACTGTTTTATGGGCACGTGTGGTGTGGGAGAAGCAGATAGGAAAATCGGGTTTTGAGCACATGAGTGGCGTTCACTCCTCTTAGTACAGCCTCAAGCCTGTGAGTGCATTCTTGCGACTATGACCTCTCCCATCCCCTGACCCGTCTGCTTCTCACCTGTCCGTCTCTGAGCATGGCTGCATTGACCACCTCCGTGCCTCGGTCCTCCGCCACCAACCGTTACCACAACACAGCATAACTCATCTTTTCGCTTCTCATCAGTCCCTTCCCCCATCTCTTTGCTTCTCACCTGTCCATCTTTCAGCATGGCCGCATTCACCACTTCAGTGCCTCGGAACGACACCACCACCCTCTTTCTCCGCGGGTCTTTGTCCCTCCACACACCCACCTGCGCGAGTGGGCATACAACACAGGCTTTCAAGGTGAGCGGGCGAATGTAATAAGGCCGACTCTAAAGTCCCTCGGAACGACACCACCACTCTCTTTCTCCGTGGGTCTTTGTCCCTCCACACGCCCACCTGCACGATGGACACTCAAGCTTTTCAAACGAGTTTTAAGTCACTCTTGGGTCACTCTCAAGGCAAGTAATCTCGACACGCCATGCCACCACCACCCTCTTCCTCCGCGGGTCCTTGTCCCTCCACACGCCCACCTGCATGTTTCACAAATAAAGGGACGAGCGACCAACTGAAGGTGCTTCTAAAGGTGCCTCAAGAGCTGCTAATGAAGGTGCTTCAAGAGGTGCTTGCCTCTCTTAACTTGCCTCAGCAAGCATCTCAAATGCGCCCTAAAGCCCACACACCTGTGTGTCCGACTCGCCACCGCTCAGAAAACACCTTCTGAGGCGTATAAAAACTAGTCTAGACATAAGCCTCAACATAAGCTTTGAAAGGATTCTGTAAGCCCACCCACCTGAGTGTCCGACTCGCCACTGCTCAGGAACACCTTTAAGGCGTCTCTAAAGGTGTTCCAGCACATGCCTCAACAGATGCCTCGGAAAGCAACTCAAAAGCCCACCCACCTGCGTGTCCGATTCGCCACTGCTCAGGAAGCACACGCTCTCAAACGCTGACTTGAAAAATTCCGGCTGCCCGCCCGCAGCTGCCCGGGAAAGATTCTCCCAGGCAGCGAGCGTCACGTTATTGGCTCCGGTGGCGAATAGAGCTTCAACTGCCCGCTGGTCTGCGAGTGAGAGGCCATACGCCGCTGCTTCAGCTTCAGCCTTTGCATCCTCCCCTGTTTTTACAGCAGACACTTGCCCTGCTGCTGCTGCTGCTGCTGCTGCTGGTGCTGCTGCTGATGGGGTTGCTGCTGCTGCTGCAGTGGCAGTGGCAGCAGCTGTGGCTTTGTTCTTGACAGTGCTGCCTCTAGAAAGAGCGGCCGATGGTTGAAAGGCGGACGTGGGAAGAGGCGTGGTGAGAAGCCTCTGGAGGATGGGGAGAGGCTCGAAGCTGGGAGCGGGAGGGCAGGGAGGGAAGGCAGGCAATGGGCGACGGTGAATGGGCAATGTGTGAAGAAGAGTGGGAGACGGTGAGAAGGCGGACGTGGGAAGAGGCGTGCTGCGAAACTTCTAAGGGATGGGGAGAGGCTCGAAGCTGGGGTGGGGAGGGCAAGAAGGGACAAAGTGAGAGGAGCTATCACTTGGGGGTGACTGGCAAGAACATGAGCGCAAGCTATGAATAGAAGCAACAAGGAAGAGGACAGTGTTGCTACATGTACGTTCACACCACTCTCACTCTCTGCCTCTCTGCCTCTCGCCTATCCAACTGCCTCACAGCCCCAACCCTCTCAAATGACCCATGTATTGTTAATCGTGAATGAGTACACTGAGTGCACAGCCCCACCCCCCCCTCTCTCTCTCATCCCTACCTGTCGCTTGGGCCTGAGAAGCTCGCATAGTCCACCTGCCACAGGCGCTGCCTCTACTCATCTCCCATACAACACTCTCAACTCACACCCCCACCTCTCAATCTCACCATTACCTGTCGCTTGCGCCTGAGAAGCTTGCATAGTCCACCTGCCACAGGCGCTGCCTCTGCTGGTGCATCTCCTCATCCAACAATCTCAACAATCTCACCCTCTCACCTCTCCCTCTCACCCGTACCTGTCGCTTGGGCCTGAGAAGCTCGCATAGTCCACCTGCCACAGGCACAAGCAAGCAACCAAGACGCTCAGGGCAGGATGAGAGAGCTCACGATTGAAATCGCTAGTAGAAATTCTCCGAGTCGCTTTTACGAATCCCATAAAAACAGATTAAATAGAGGCGCAAGCAACCCAAGGCTGAGGCCGTCATGGTGGCCAGTGTAGTTACAGTTGCATGGAGCAAAAACCGACCTACCCCACACCCACCTATCCCAAACCCAACTACCCCAGACCCACCTACCCCAGTCCCATCTACCCCAAACACACCTACCAGATCCACCTACCCCAGACACACCTCCCTCACCAATCCTACCTCCATCGAAACATTTCCTGTCGGCTTGCCGTCCCGAGTCACCTTGGCCACGACATCGCGAATCCGGGTGTCTGAACAAACGCACAGAGAGGGATGGAGAGCAGAGACGTGCGGTGAAGGGTGGTGGACGGCAGTGGCAAGTGGTACAGAGTGGTGAAGAGTGGTTAAGAGTGATGAGCGTACTAAAAGGATGGAGACAAAAGAGAGAGGCAATGGGGAGCAATGGTGGTTGTGTTGTACCAACCACACAGGCACGCTCGATCATCAGTATCATCGTCACTTCCTTCCTGCCTTCTCTCACTACACACACCACCTCTGTCTACCCCACCCTACTCCGCCAAACACACCCCCATTCCCACCTTTCATGAAGCCAGTGAGAGCAATGGTGGCCATGCCAACCACACAGTCGCCCTCCAACATGAGTATCATCGTCAGTTCATACCTTCACCCCACACCTTCACTCCACACCTTCACCCCCACCCCCACCCCTACCTTTGATCAGGTCAGTGAGAGCAATGGTGGCCGTGCCAACCACACAGTTATGGTCGTCAGCACCCACCCCTGCCTAACACACCCACCTCTGTTCAACACACACCCACCCCCACCTTTGATCAGGTCAGTGAGAGCAATGGTGGCCGTGCCAACCACACAGTTATGGTCGTCAGCATGATCATCAGAGTCGTCCGTGCTGTGCAAGGTGATCTGTTTGGAGGGGTTGTGAGAAAAGCGAGCGTATGCTGGGTGTTCCCATCGCATGTATAGGCATTATCAACGTCATCCCCATTGGAAAAGAGAAAGTTACCTGGGGCCACCACCATGGGCCAACAGAGGATTACCAAATCACCTGAGAGAGAGCACATAACCACCTGCAGCAAGGTGTCAGATGCAGCAGCACGAGGCACCAGCAGCTGCAGTTGCTCGGGCCACGATGGGTTCTTTGGGCTGCGAGGAGAAGCAGGAGGGAGGCGGGGACAGGGGGAGGGATGGAGTAAGTCGGCTGACGAGGCACCAGCAGTTGCAGTTGCTCGGGCCACGATGGGTTCTTTGGGCTGCAGAGGAGAAGCAGGGAGGTGGATAGATGGAGAGGGGTGGAAGAGAGGCACCATATGGGTTAATCAACTGACGAGGCACCAGCAGCTGCAGTTGCTCGGGCCACGATGGGTTCTTTGGGCTGCAGCAGAGGAGAAGCGGGGAGGGGGAAGGTGTGGAAGTGAGGAATCAAAAAGGTCATTTGGGAATCAAGTTGGCCGGCCGATGAGGCAAAGGATTCTTTGGGCTCAGGAGAAGCAGGGAGGTTGGAAGAGGGAGAGGGCGAGGTGAGCATGTAAACTGATGTGGGAGGGATGTGGCATTTGCATTTACATGTGATGAAATGTGTGCATGAATATGAGCATGATTTTAAGGAGGACTGTGAGAGTGAATGTGAGGAGGAAGGTGAGAATGTGATGTGTCCATGGCAGGCAAGCAAAGACCCCGGCTTACTCTTGAGCCTTTATGGTGGTGTGTGAGCGACGCAATTTTTTAGGCCACTCAAAAGGCATGTGAGCAGCGAGCATGGCAGGAAATAAAAAAACCCTAGCTCACTCCTGGGCCTTCACGGTGGTGTGAGCGATGCAAATTGTTAGGCCACTCAAAAGGCATGCGATCATGTGAGCATGGCAGGGAGGCAAAAACCCTAGCTCACTCTTGGGCCTTCACGGTGGCGTGAGTGAGCGACGCAATTTTTCAGGCCACTCAAAAGGCATGCGAGCATGGCAGGGATGCAAAAACCCCAGCTCACTCTTGGGCCTTCACGGTGGTGTGAGCGATGCCATTCCACGTTGCTGGTTTCCCTGCTGACGTCACCAGCGCCAGCTCAGCATGGAGCGCCTTGACGTTCCCCTGGAGGATAGAGGATGGGGTGAGAGGGGGGTAGGACGGACGGGTTATGGACGGGTAAAATGAGGGAGTGCGTGATTGCGTTGATGGGTGAAGGAGAAAGTGTGAGAGCGAGTGAGTGAGTGAGTGAAGGAGAGAAGGGATTGAGTAGGCGGGTGCATGCCATGCCACGAGTAGCGGCCCTTGCAAGGGCTCAAAGGCCAAGGGCATGGGGACGAAGAGAGGTGACGAGAGGTGACGAGAGGTGACGAGAGGTGACGAGAGGTGACGAGAGGTGACGAGATGTGAAGAGAGGTGAACGGGGTGAAGTGCAGCTATGAGTGAGCGAGCCGTGGCCGTGAGTGCTCGCACGGAGAGCAGCCCTTGAAGAGAGGCAGAGAGCACGAGTGCAGTGGGCGTGGAGGTAAACAGAGGCGAATTGTGGGGACTGGGGTGAAGAGAGGTGAATGGGATGAAGCAGTGAGCGAGCGAGGTGCCATACCGTGGCCGTGAGCGCGCACATGGAGAGCTGCCCCTGAAAGAGCTCGAGGGCGAAGGGCGTGGAGGTGAAGAGACGTGAAGAGAAGTAACTGGGGTGAAAGAGTGAGCTAGGTATTGAGACTGATGGGGAGAGGAAGTGCCATAATGCCATACATACCATGGCTGTAATCGCGCGCACGGAGAGCTGCCCCTGAAAGAGCTCGAGGGCGAAGGGCGTGGAGGTGAAGAGAGCAGAGCACTGCCGCCCGTCCACGTCCGATAACTTGTCGCTTCCCTGTGGTGTATGGTATGGGGGGAATGAGGGATGGACAGGAAATGACGCAAGGCAATGCAAGGCACTCCGTCCACGTCCAATATCGCTTATCACTTCCCTGTAACGTACAGTGCGTCTTACAGTGGGAGCTCAATCGCGTGCGTCTTACAGTGGGAGTCGAGTATGCTTCAAACGCGAATCCGCCCAGCAGCACCGCCAGCCGCAGGTCAAACGGCACGCCTTGCGCCGCCGCGGACACACTCCCCTTCCCCTCCGCCGCTGCCGTCGCCGCCGCCGCCGCCGCCGCCGCCGTCGCCGCGGACTTGGACGACCCGAAGATCGTCAGCGCGTCTCGAAGCACCGACGCGCCGCGATCGGCGCCGCTTGTCCCGCTGCTGCTGCTGGCGGAGGCGGAGGGGACGCGGAGCGGAGTCGGGCTTGGCGGGCGGCGGCTTCCGCGCGCCGCCGCGGAGGTCGGCGCGGCGGAGAGGCGGAGACCGCCATAGGAGGAATTTAAGCTGCGAAGGGGGGAAGGACGCGCGGTTGTGAAACAGAAGATGGAACATATTTGAGTTAAGTGGACCACTAGGCAAATCTGCTGTGGAACGAAACTCGTAAAGCCAGGGATGCTGAATCACTTCTGGGAATTCTCAAAAGCGATGTTAGTAAATCGAGTTGAGTGGATCACGAGGGCGATAATTTCACTGGAAGGTCAAGGGTGGTTTGGACGATTGAGGCGCCTCAGAACTGGTGATCATTCTCCGGAAATACAGCGTAAAATTCTACGACTGGCATTTACGAAACGAAAATCTTATGGGGTAAGCGTATTGACGAGAACATTGGTGCCCGTTTTTGAGTAAGAAGCACAGCAGTGTGTTTCAACCGCCAGAAGTCTGAATCACGCACTGTAAACGCCCCATTGCTGATTCAGTGCTATCACCTCAGACAAATCCCATCTTGATTGTGCTCTTACTAGGCAAGCGTTCCTCGGCGGCAGAGATTGCAATTTAGCTACAATCTGTTAGGTACAAGACTGACCCGCTTTTAGCTTCACGATGTTGCCAGTTCCGTTCAAGCTTTAACGGCCCGTAATAGACTCGCGACCGGCATCGAGCATTTACAGAATCTGTTGGCAATAGTGGTAGAATCGTAGTATCACCTTGAGAGAGATAGCTTGTATCGGGGATGGCGATCCAGTGGGGCTCTGAGGGCAGCAAGGGGAGCGAGCGACGCGGAGGCAGCATAGAAGGACGCCATGGCGCTAAAGCTGACCGTCAGACACGAAATTGCTCGAGCAAGAATGCAACCGTTCGTGGTAGAAAGTCTGAACTGTGGATTGAGCTTTCCTCCCAATGATATCCTGGTCTCTTTCGCACTAAGCTTGGTAACGGAGCGAATCAGTGTGTCACGGTGCTACGAGGTCCGGGAAATGGGGGACGCTTATTGGCGGATCGAGCTTCGCCGTGATTATACGCATACACTTGACGGTGCAACTTTCGATTGCGCATACGTGCTGTGCTGTTACATTTCCGGCCACTACTACTGTAATACTATTACAGTAGTACGGGCAGGGAGGATGAACTTCCCCCTCAATGTCGCTGATCCATGCTTGGTGGCTGCCGTCGACCGCGAGGTGTCTAGTTACGAGGCGTAGAGACAAAAGTTCCCTATTATTTTGTCCAGGAGCGGAGGAAAGCCGGCCGCATGGTTGCAAAATAATAGGGAACCATGCAGTTGTATCGTGTCAGCACTTGTTAGTCGCAGCCAAAAATGGATGGCCTGTTGGCGATGCGACTGCCAGTGCCAGTGCCAAAATATCTGCAATATGAGAAGAATCTGGGAAAATGGCCGCAGAAATAACTGCTGAATGCCGCTGAAATGGTTGCTGTATGGGTGGTGAAAAGCTGCCGCTGATGGTTGCTGAAGCCGGAGGAAACGGGAATGCGGAAAAATGGGCGGGAGGGTGCATGGAGGGGAAGGTGGGGGGGAGGTGATGATGGGTGGGAGGGGGAACGGGGTGGGAGGGGGAAAGCCCATTCCCTCCACCCTTAGGACGTGTGTGAAACTAATTTTGGCACCAAGTTTAGGTTTTTGATTCGAATGTAGCAATTGAACGCTAAGCGAACCTTACTCGATTTTGAGTCATTGCAAAGTTCGAACCGCAGCTGTCGAAAGTTGTAAACACACAATCACACGCGCAGGTGCGAATCTACAAGTTCGAGCCTGTAGGGGGAGAACCGAACCGCGAGTAGGGTGCGTAGGTTACCCAGTATCGGCATCTTGACAGCGCGACACGTCAACGAATCGCGTGCCCCAAAAGTTCACTCTAGAGTTCCACCTCATCTCCCTACCTGTCCCCGAGCAGACCACCAGCGGGCCATTTTCAGGTGCGATCCCAACAGTACGGGAAACGTACTCAGGTGGGAGCCCAAAACTTTCCGCCACTGTTACGGGCACTGTTCTGGCACTGTACACACGTGCAGCAACAGACCCTTGAACCAATTCGCCTCTCACTCACTGTTCTAGCTGACGGACTTTTGTTCACTGACGCCCACTGACGGAATTCGAACAAACAACATGGCCAAACCAGCCTGGTCGAGCGCAACCCACACCCCCACTCCCCAACCCCGCCCCCCCCCTCCCCCCCGCGCAACCTCCTCACCAAACTTGCTGGTGAGGTAGCGCTCGAGCGAATGCTTGCGGGAAATCCTCCGCAGCATCCATCGTGGCTACTCCGAGATGAGACATGAGTTCAGCGGCGTAACTGTAACCAGATGTTGAAAATATGTGTTATGAGTTTTACTAGACAGAGTGCGCGATAGACTTTTTAAAGAGAATGTAATTACAGAATTACTGAATGACGATTGAATGAACAAAGGAAACATTTATAAGGCGAATGCGTGCTAGGCGAGAACCTCGTGACGTGCGAGGTTTGGATGTGTCGCGATTGGTGCGAGGCGACTCGGAAGTGGTTCGGGACGAAATGTAGGCCGAACCAGAATCTGGCGCGAAGAGCTCGGGGCTGTCCTCGCAAGGAGCAGCTTCGGCAGTAATGAATTGTACATTCATTACAATATGTATGGAATTGCAATTCCTTTCACAGCCATGCGTTTTATCATGTGTTAAAATATCTGTTGAATTACTAAGGGCACGCACATGTTTTGCCTGGATACGTATAGATGCCGTAGCATGCATATTCAAATGCACTAGTATTTCCAGGGTTTAGGGTTTTTTCTTTACGATTGCGATTTGGCTCCACACGCACGAAATATAAGACGGTAAGGGTTTACCGGTAGGCGCCAACATGTAAGCACATTTTGTCACATGTGGAACAACACATATGATATGCCACACCATTATTACTGAGAATCGGAGGGGTTGATACATAAATTTATGAGCATGTACACCTCACAATAATAATATCAAGTTTAGAGATAACTATTGAGTGTGTATATTTGTGCGTGTGTTTGTATATGTGTGTGTGTGTGTGTGTGTGTGTTTGTGTGAGTGTATGTGTGTGTATGTGTCTGTGTGTATGTGCGTGTGTATATGTATATATATGTGTGTATGTGTGTATGTGTGTATGTGTGTATGTGTGTGTGTGTGTATGTGTATGTATGTGTAGGTGTGTGTGTGTGTGTATATGTGTGCGTGCGTGTATGTGTGTGTGTATGTGTATGTTTGTGTGTCTGTATATGTATCTATGTGTGTATGTGTGTGTGTGTGTGTATGTGTGTGTGTATGTGTGTGTGTGTGTGTGTGTATATATATGTGTGTGTGTGTGTGTGTGTGTATGTGTATGTGTGTTTGTGTATGTGTGTGTGTATGTGTATATATATATGTGTGTGTGTATGTGTGTGTATGTGTGTGTGTGTGTATGTGTGTGTGTGTGTATGTGAGTGTATGTATATATGTGTGTATGTGCGCGCGTGTGTGTGTATGTGTGTGTGTGTGTGTGTGTGTGTGTGTGTGTGTGTGTGTGTGTGTGTGTGTGTGTGTGTGTGTGTGTGTGTGTGTGTGTGTGTGTGTGTGTGTGTGTGTGTGTGTGTGTGTGTGTGTGTGTGTGTGTGTGTGTGTGTGTGTGTGTGTGTGTGTGTGTGTGTGTGTGTGTGTGTGTGTGTGTGTGTGTGTGTTGTGTGTGTGTGTGTATGTGTGTGTATGTGTATGTGCGCGAGTGAGCGCGTGCGTGTGTGTGCAAGTACGTGCGCGCACAAGCGCGAGCGTGAGTGCATGCGTGTAAGTGTGTATATGTGTCTGGTGGGAGTTTCATGTGTTACCATACGCGTGATTTTCGAGCTGTTGTTAGTGACTGATCCCGTGACCCCACTTACCAAGGCCGTCAAGATACTCGATACAGTTACCGTATGCATTTTTTCTTTACCATCGTCGTTATCGGGTCACATGATGGTTACTTGTGGCATATATTCCCAAATTACTTGGTCTGTTTAGTGACACCAGGCTTTAGATACAGTGAGTTAAAGATTTGACTGAAGCAGAATTTTGCAGATTTCGTGTTAACTGATCAAGGACATAACTTAAATTAACCATTCCTAGTAAAATTGGAAAATAATATAACCTCATCCAAAATCACCTACACATAGAGTCAAGAAACGCACCGCATTGCCAATCCTGTTTTGACCAAGTTTTCTGGTTTTAGTTTTGGAAAAGTGAATTCGTGTCACAGAAGATGTGGGAGATCAAAAATAGCTGACATCACATCTCTCTCCCCAAGCTTCAACACGGCTGTGCAGAAGACTGTAGTGGGCCAATCACAAAAACAAATAATGGTCGAGCAATGCAGCAAACAAGGGAGGTTAACTTATAATACGTGTGTGAGAGTGGTTGAGGTGAGGAAACATCAAATGATAGGTTCAAGAGTAGCTGCGACATATAAACGTCAAAGGGAGGTAGTCATGTAGCAAGAACACGGCAATGGATGCGTAGGGGCAATTTACCTTTGTGACGTTACGGTCTGCCAAACTCCCTTGATGCACGCATCCTCAAAATCGTTTCACGCCTTTGCTGCCGCCGATAGCGTTGCTGCTGCTGCCTTTGCCAATGCTGTTGTTGCTGCAAAGGCTGCTGATGCTGCAACAGCTGCTGCTGGCGCTGCTGCTGCTGCTGCTGCTGGTGCTGCTCCTGCAATGGATGATATTGCTGGGGCTGCTGCTGCTGCTGCTGCTGCTGCCGCTGCTGCTGTTGCTGCTGGCGCTGCTGCTGCCCCTGCTGGTGCTGCCCCTGCAACTGCTGATATTGCAGGGCGCTGCTGCTGCTGCTGCTGCTGCTGATGCTGCCACCCTACCGGCCACTCCTCCTGCCAAGGATGTTGACGCAGCATAGGCTGATGCTGGCGTTGCTGATCCAGCTGCTGATGCAGCTGTCCATGCGGCTGCACCTGCTGCTGCTGTTGCTGCTGGCGCTGCTGCTGCCCCTGCTGGTGCTGCCCCTGCAATGGCTGATATTGCTGGGGCTGTTGCTGCTGCTGCTGATGCTGCCACCCTAACGGCCACTCCTGCTGCCAAGGATGTTGACGCAGCATAGGTTGATGCTGGCGTTGCTGATCCAGCCGTTGATGTCGCTGTCCATGCGGCTGCACTGGCTGCTGCTGTCCCCACTCTTGCTGCTGCAGATGCTGCGGTGGTTGATGGTTCAGTAAACGTTGCAGCTGCAATACTACTTGTTGCAGTTGCTGCAACATTGAAGCATCATTCACACCCTGCGCCCCTCGTTGGTCTCCCCTCTCTGCAGCACCACCTTGGCGACGTGAACGCTGATTCCGTTGACTCCCTCTCACCCTTCGGCCACCAGGTTGTGTGCGCCCACGTCTCACATTCGAGTCATCGCCCTCTTCTTCGAAATTAGACTCCACTTCACCGTCCTCAGGGACGACCTCAACCTGCAGCCGAAATCGTTGTCGTCGTCGCAACCTTCTTGTTGCAACTGGGTCAGCGTTACGGGGCTGACCGTGGACACGGACCACCGACCAAAAAGGTGCCATAGGATTTGTACTATGCGTAACATTAGTCTCCGCAATAGTTGTCTCCCCTTCTCTCTGCTGCCCCCCGTCTCCCTGCACTTGTTCTCTCTGCTGCTCCCTGTCTTCCTGCACTTGTTCTCTATGCTGCTCCCCTTCCGCCACCTCGGAACCTCCATTAGCCCTCTGAGTGTGAACGGTGCTTGGCTGAACATCAAATTCTTGCATGGGTAAAGTACCCACACTTGAGATGATGTGACCATGCGGGCCTTCGTGTTGCACC